GGAGGTCCTCAGGCACTAGAGTGTGACTGGCCGTTTGCCCCTACATCAAAAGACCTGATATTCCACCAGGTCAGGAACTTCTACTGTTGTTAAGATACTGGCTCTCGGGAGGGTTGTGGGGAGGTGGGAAGGGGTGGAGGAGAGGTTAGTGATTTGAGTCTCATTAAGAGCTTTTCCTGGACACCCTCTCACCCTTTTTCATTTGCTAACCTCACATTTGGTTAAGGCAAGGGCTTTTGGTAGAGAATGGAGAGTCTTGCTCAGGGTAAAGGACTAGGGTTTTGACACCTTGGGCACACTGGAGACCTTAAGCCTCCCATCAGGAGTGACAGCTTTATCCCTAATGGCAGGACATTTAGACTGCTCATGCCTGTGCCCCTCCACAGCTAAGTGCAAGCTTTTGACAGATGAGCTGATTATTGCCACCAGGACAGAATTAGATGTGAGACATTTGCACACAGACAGTCCTAGCTAGAACAAAGTTTGCCAGTGTGTGTGGTGAGCTCATCCTATATAATAACAGAGGAATATGCTAATTATCCATTACTCTGTAAGGTAACGACCAGTTTAGTAGGCTACGCAAGCAGCAGGCCCTGGTGAGTGGGCTGTGAGCCTGCGGTGCCCTCCCTGGAGTTGGGGAGCTAATGACTGACTGTCTCTGGTCCTCCTCCAACAGCCCTCTCCAGCAGGTCTGGGGCTGCTGAAACCCAGACTGGGCCTCTGGTTCTCTCCACAGAAGAGAACTGACTCTACCAGCCACCTGGAAGCCATGTAGCTGGGCCACAAGGTGCCCGAACCTGGTGCCTGTTCAAGACACGAAACAGAGAGGAGGTGCAGGAGGAACTCCGGAGAAGGGGATGTGGGGATTCAAGACTCACTCCCTTTGGGCTTTGTCCTTCTTGGCCCACATAAGGGGTGGCTCCTGGGTGAGCACTGTGGCTTCGGCCAGGAGGTGGGCAGCCCAAGGGGCACTGAGGTGGGATACACCTGGGCTTGTGAAATATGATAGCAACCATACTTGGGTAAAAACTGCTGTTTGAATTTTAACCCTGCTATTCTGGCTTTGGCATTAGCTTACTTGCTTAAACAATGGGGTAGTTACCTCAGCTTCCAGATGGAGACCTGGAGACTAAGTCAATTTTCCTGTGCCTGGGATCAGAACTACAGGAGATTGATTCCCACTGACTCAGTAGCTTCAGGGGTAGAAACTGTAGATAACCTTTAGAGATTAACTGCTGAGCTCTGCTTCTATATTATTTATCTATATTATTTATCGGCTATCACAAGATAGGGCCACATTCCAACGTCCAGCAGGATGTGGCTGGGAACGTCCCTGCTGGCTGTTCCAAGCCTTTAGAATTTAGAATTTAGAAAAAGGAAAATTCTTGTGGTTTAGACCTTTAAAAGGACTGCCTACACCCGGAAGGAGGGAGGGGGGAGATGTGAGTGTGGCCACCTGCGTGTGGCGCTCTTGCGGCTGTCCTGGCCAGTTCAATAAATCCTTGCCTGCTTTTTTTCCCCAGCCAACTGGAATTTGCCTTAGTTTCCTGGTCTGTAAAATGGTTTAAACATGTCCCAGTGCCTTCATGGAGCTCTTTGATGGACAGTTGTGATACTATATAAGGAAAATGAGGGAAGAAGTGAGAAAGAAAAGGAAGGATGAGCAACACAAAAGAAAGATTGAAAGGAACCTGTAAACCTATTGTCATTTAAATAGGGAATTAGTCAATAGTGTTGTAATGATGGTATGATGCCAGGTGGGTCCTGGAAATATCAGGGAACACTTTGTACAGTGTATGATTGTCTAACCTCTGTTCTGTAACTAATATAAAACCTGAAACTAATACAAAATAATATTGAATGTAAATAAATGAAAATAGGAGTGAAATTTTTATAAATTTCAAAGTTTAAATAAAGGCTGTAAAGGAAGGAAGGGGGAGAATAAAAATAGTGTTTTTCATTTTACCACTTTATTGTCTTTTCAGTACATGAAAAAGACAGTTGTCTTTATATGGTGCTTTTAAACTTTTCTAAATCATTATCTCATTTGATGCTCAGGGCAACTTAAGACAAGATAAATATTCATTCTACTATTCAAAGAAATGATATCTTGGTGTCTGTCCCCAATGATTCAAGCCATTATTGTAAAGCAGGGTTTGTGAAATTTTCTGTGATGGTCATATTTTACTAATAAAATCCTTGGGGGCAAACAGGCCAGCAAGGGAGGGCAGTTGAGGCGATCAGGCCAACAGGGGAGCAGTTAGGTATCAATTAGGCTGGCAGGTATACAGTTTAGGAGGCGATCAGGCTGGCAAGGAGAAGTGGTTAGGGGTGATCAGGCAGGCAGGCCAGTAGTTAGGAGCCAGCAGTTCCAAATTGTAGGAGGGATGTCCGACTGCCGTTTTAAGCCTGATCCTTGCAGCCTAAACTAACAGTCAGACATCCCCCGAGGGGTCCAAGATTGGAGAGGGTGCAGACTGGGCTGAGGGACACTCACCTTTTCTCCTCCATGCACAAATTTCATGCACCAGGCCACTAGTTATGAAATAAAGATCTCCAAGTGAATAGATCTGCACATTTGTAGACCATGCAAGAAAAGCTTTTTGAGATCTAATATTCATTGAGCACTTATGAATCATGGCCTATTCTTTACACTTCATGTTTTGACATTTAATCCTCACAATACCCATTTTACAGATGAGAAAACAGGCCTAGTGTGACCTGTGCAAGGGGATTCAGAGAGTAGAAGGAAGATAGGAGCTCAGACAGATAGGCTGCAGACTAAATGTCTTAATGTTTTCACTATTCCTTGGTCCTATGGAACCTGTATACTAACGTGGCAGAAAATCAAAAGGAAAGAATGGCTCAGGTTTCAGTTCAATACCAGGCCTTGCAAGAGTTATTTGACCTAAATGTCAATCCCACAGGTTTATCCTTGCCACTTCCAAGCAGAAAGGAACTTGCTCTGGGCCACAAAGCAAAGGGTAAGCCGGATCTTAACTCAAGTTTGTCTAGGTATTATTTTCTACCACCTCCAGCCAATGAGCTTAAGGATGCTGCATCTGGCTTTGAGGGTGTCATTGCCAACCAAGAAGGTACATTCTACAAGAGTTGGAGATCCAAAATTGAAGTCAGCAGGTGGAGGGTACATGTCTCCTAACTTTCACAGTGAACTCTCCAAATAGAAGCCTAGGGTCGGAGAGAAAATGGCTTGTCCCAGAAGTGTCAATAACTGCATATGAGCAGAGCTATGAGAACAACATTGTTCAATAAAATCTGAACAGATAATACAGTTGGCAAAGCGACACATTTAAATTTATTAAAAAGAGAGAAAAAAATGTTGGCACAGATCCAGGGTAACCATGAAAAAAAGGTTTTCCTTCCTGAAAGTATTCTGTCCCACTGGAGGGGGAAAAAAAATAAGGAAACATGAAAGCCAATAAAAGAAAAGCATGAACATGGAAGACCATCATTAATCTTCTATTCAAATGGCAGTCACGGCTGCAGATTACTGGAAAGGCTTGAATAGCAACTCTATTCAGAGACAAATTAAGTATTGGGAATACACTCAAAAATAAGTAAGTGATTTAATTGCATACCTGATTCTGGAGTCATGCAACTGACTGCAGAAACATCAGTTAAAGGCTCATTAGTTTGGAAGGGAAATATAACTTTTGACATTTGTTTTGGTAAGAAAATAAGTTAATTAAAATTATAATGTTAGCAAAGTATTCTGTGTATAAACACGAGTCACTCATCTTATATACACTTTAGTAGTATTAACTGGATGATTTTCATGGCTTAGACTTAGTGCAGGCACATGGAGAAAGTGTAGGGACAAGGAGAAAGTCAGGGGGCATAAGACAGAAAGTCTAGTAGGGACTTGGCAGGGAGGGGCAGGGGGAAAGAGAGCGAGCCCTGGGATGAGGGTCCTGTTTAATTCAAATTCTTCTCTTCACCAATAAATTTAAAATAGTTGACCCATGAGATAGCTCAAGTATGAAATAAAACTATGCATACAGTGATCTTAATCTCTGCAGTCATTACTATAAATATTTATTGAATAACTTCTTTATGTTTGCTCCCATGTCTCTGCTGCTTTTAAGAAAATGGGAAATCCCTTTGGGAGATCAGAGGCATGATGTGACATGTTTTGTTTTTTGTTTTGTTTTGTTTTGTTTTGTTACTAGGTAGATGTTAAGAGAGTCTACAATTAAAAAAATACTAGTAATTCCATATATTATGATAAAAATAAATTTATTTAGGTAAAAAAAAAAGCCATCTTTCCAAGCTTGACAAGGGTATATACCCACCCTGAAGGAGTCAGTTTGCTAACAAGAATGAGCTCTGCTATAGTTTACTTCCCCGTGTCGTATGTACAATCAACAATTAGCACAGTAAAAGGTGTTTCCTCTTCATCTCACTAGGCCAGCGGTTGCTTCAAATCATACAGAAGAAAACCACAGGAAAACCGGCCAAGAAGTGTCGTTTTGTTGATTGAAATGTCATCTTTAAGTGGCCGAATAGATTTCCAGCTTGAGTCTATAATTTGATGTTGCAACCAACTTCATCTCTGTGCAGACCATGACATAAGAAATGTTATCTAAGCCAAGAATCACTTTTAAAACAAACCCCTATTTTGAGGATAAACACACATCTTTCAATGTGTGGTTTTAAACACTATTGTTTTGCACATTCTGAAATGTGATTTTTTTTTTTTGCATCCCAACATTGTCATGTCATAAATTAAAAGAATTTCATTATCACTAATCTATTGCACTAATGCCCAGTAATTGCCTATGGTCTATGCTTCATCATCCAAGGGTATAAAAAAGGAACTTTGGAACTGCAGTTGTGGTCAGCCAGCTGACAGTCAGTCCTCTTTCCCACTCCCCATTAAACATCAGTATGTTGGACATGTTGGTCCAAGCCATTCGGGGTCCATCTGCATTGTCATTGGATAAGGAGGCCCGAACTTGATTATCTTTGGCAGAAGGATTTTAGTTAGTAAATATCAAGTGGTCATCACTTGCTTTCCTACAACAGAAAAGGGAGGGGGGAGGAGAAAAGAGATTATGACTCAAGAATTTTGGGAAGGAATAGAAATACTTCATATTTTAGGCATGCATAGGTTATCGACATGCTAAGTGGAACATTAAAAAGGGGAAAAGTTAAGAAGGGCATTTGACATTATTTTGGTTTGAGCAGATGCTTTTGGCAACTTGGAGGAGCTGTCTACCTCTTTGGGACCCTCCATCTCCTTTCCTTGACAAGCCTTCTTAATGACTGGAACCGCAGACTATCCTTCACTGCAGTAGAGAAGGCGAAAGGTAAATTCTGCATCTGTTCAACCAGGCACATCTTTCCAAAGAGCCACATAACATTAGAACTGGAAGAGGTGTCAGAAGTCATCTGTTCACCCTCATGACACCGAGGAACCAAGAGGTTTAGGAGGGGTCAAGGGACACATTTGATAACTCTCAGGTCCAAAATGAAAACCCAAGAGTTCTAATGATCAGAGTAAAGGCTCCATCAATAACTGGAAGGAGAATCCATTTGCGGTGGCTGCTGGACTGCCGTCTGTCATGGGCCCAGAGAGGGGCCCACACATCGATACTCACAACGCCCTTCCTAACTCCTTGGGTTTCTCAGTGATGTCTTCCTCCAATATTTACTCTCCGATCATAGCCTTCCTCAATTTTACTCCACTCTTTGGCTCCTAGCCTTTAGATGTCTCCAGGTATACTTAATGTTTTATGGAGTCAAAGCCATCACTTGGTCTCAAGGCCCAGGATATTAATAATCCATTTCCTTCATCAGGCCCTAAGATCTTCATTTACTTTCTGCAAGGTCCGTCAAAAGCCCCCTAGATCTAGGCTTTGATTTGATTACATGGCTAAAGCTGTTCTAGCTGATTTCACCCAAAATTGTCTTTTGGTAATAGACACTCCTGTTTTTATTTTTTTGATATCCACTTTTTTCAAAACTTTCAACATCCTCGTTTTTCAGTAGATTTCCATTAGTGGACTCTCCTGTTCCATTTAATTCCTTCATTAATGATGGGCCAGTCCCTCCTTTTGCCTCGGGCATTTTCTCAACAGCCCTTAGCACATCTTAGGGCAAACTGCTGATATTTTTCCCCAGCACTCAGACCCAACCTGATTAGCTAACCTTCAAATTCACCTCTTACATCTTTTACTTATTCCATGTGGCTGCACAAGAAACATTTAACAATCTCCTGGGGCTTGTTATGGTGCAAACACACACACACACAAAAAAATAAATAAATAAAAAAAATCAAACATCAAAAACCCCTTGGTTACTCTCCAGAATTCTCAACTACATTCTAAGATTATTTCTTTTTTTTTGTTCTGTACAGCTACGTATTAGAAAAGCAACTTGGGGAGACTTTCTTTGTACAAGATGCCTCTTAGGAAGTAGCTGCCTATTAAGAAAATTAATTTTCCTTTATCCCAGTTTTCATGGGAACAATTTAATGCTCTGAAAGGATAAAATGTGATTTTAAAAACTTAACTCTTCTCAGAAGACTTCATTTCATATTTACTAGACATACTTTGGAAATGCTTCACTCAGATAATTTCAAATCCCAAGATGCGGTGTGAATTGATTAGCAGGAAATACATCCTGTGGTTTTTAAGCAGCAATTATGTTCCCCATCTTCCTTCAGAAATATGGTCTAGAGAATCTTTTTCAAAAAATATGGGTAGGGGATATTTTGAGTTAACAGCTCGCTACCCTGACTAGAGATGAAAACAAACACGTGTACCATTAAATATCCTATCCTCATCTGACCCCTGTTCTTGTCCCCAAACCACCATGTGGAAGCTTTAACACTGAGATCTAGACTAGCGATTTTCAAACAGTGTGCCACAAGAATTTTTTAAAAACATGCAATATTTGACTATTTAGTCAGGAACTCTGACCTCTTTTCCCTTAAATTGTCAAAAAATGACAACAGTCAACACAATACCCATCTGGTATGAATAAATCAAAATTATACCTTTTTTTTGTCAGATTGGCAAAAAATATTTTTGGTGTGGCACGGAATTTTAGTAATTAAAATTATGTGTGCAGTGAGATGAAAATCGTTGAACATCGCTGGTCTAGACCTTTTTTTTCAAGTGTCCTGATGAACAGCAGCAAAGTGCAGTTGGTCACCGAAGAGCTACTGACACACATTTCCAGCCCAGGACATGGATAGCCTCCTCTCAGGCAGGTTTCCTGCTCTGGTCCAGAGGAGTTATCTGTACCAAATACTGTGAAAAGGGAAAATGCCCTTGACATTCGGAGAGCTCCACCTCTAAAATTAATAGTGTTGCCTGAATGGTACAGCTCAGTGATTGAGCATCAGCCTATGAACCAGGAGGTCACGGTTCCATTCTCGGTCAGGGCACAGGCCCAGGTTGCAGGCTTGATCCCCAGTGTGGGACATGCAGAAGGCAGCTGATCGATGATTCTGTCTCATCATTGATGTTTCTCTCTCTCTCTCCATCTCCCTTCCTTTCTGAAATCAATTATATGTATACCATATATATTATATAGTATGTATTATGTAATATGTATATTTATTATTATTATTATTATTATTATTATTACTACTACTACTTTGGCCACATAAGAGTTCATTCTCTTGACTTGAGGGACATAATTCATGCCTTCTCATAATAGTCTCATAACACCCCCACAAGGGTCCAACCATGTCATGTAGCTTTCTAGAATTCATTTATTAGAATTCCTTTCTAAAGCCGATTTCAGTGGGAGGGAAGATGGGTTCTTTCCCAGGACAAGCTGATTGCTGAGTGTTGTGTGCACCTGGAAAGTACTCGTTGTTAAGGCAGCAGAGCAGCTCCTCTCAGGAGCATGGGGACCTGATTAAACACAATACCGACCTCCTCAGACAGCAGACGCAGGACAGGAAGGCCGAGGACTGTTTCTGACACTCCTCTCGGCTATTACATTCCTTCAGGAACTCCTGAAGATCCGTTACAGGAAACCCATTCTGCTGGTATTTCTTTAAAAAGTACACAGTGCTGTTACCTTATGTATAAAGCATGAGAAATTGCTCCCTTTGTCAACAAACCAAATCCACCTTTGCTAAAATAAAACTCTCCCACATTGCTAGGTCAGATCCAAGAACTGATATTAACAATGCTGAATCAATGTCAGTTCCAGAAGGCCAAGCCAGGGCTACCATGGAACAGAGAACAACCCAAAGGAAAACACCTCTGGTGCCAGGGTGAAGCAGGGAGGGGTGTACTAGTAAGGGATATAAAAGCAATGATCTGAAGACTAAAGTTTTCATACTAATGCAAGACCAGATAAGACACCCCCCTTTCTTCCCCTCACTGTCCATGCAGAACCTGCCTGAGAAGTAATCTCTGTTTCCTCTACTTTTATGGAAGAGGGTCACTTGGTGGGGCAGAAGGCAGTAGGTTCTTTCAAGCAGACACAAAGACCCCGAGGCCCTCTCCCCTCATGCTAAGTGAGGTCATCCACCAGGTCATCAAGAGTTGGCCCACTCACAGGGACACTGTGCCATCAAAGCTAGGGACCCACAGGGCAGCAGTGTGCAACAATTCTTTCTATATGCCCAACCCTGCTGTTAGAGCCACCCACCCACTCTCATGTGGAAACCAACTTCCCCAGGCACAAAAGTGTGCTCAGGAGTGTTTCCAATGAATCAGCTTCTTCTGAGTTTAGTCTGAGAAGGTTCAAGAAGAGCACAACACCCCAAGGTACTGACATAGCTTTGGTTGCTCCAATGCTGGTCTGAAACAGGACTTCTGAGCATGACCATCTGCTACTAGACAGGCCACCACTGGAGGCAACAGAGCGCCCTTCAAGCTACAAACCAGTTAAATGGACCCAGACTGGAAGAATACGGAACCCACCACGTGGCTCAGCAAGATAGGAAGTTAAACAGCCACAAGAGCCTTAGCTTTCATCATTTAAAGGAAACCTATTATATATCACACAAATGGTTGTGTCATCCTGTATGTAGGTATTCCCATATCTGAACAGTTGACAGGGTGGTGAGGACCCCTTACCACTGACATGTACCACTCAAAACCTCAGTTCCAGGACAGGCCGGTACGCCAGTCAGTGCTGCGACTAACAGTCGAACTACTTAATTTACTAAACTCAACTTATCTCTACCCATTGCCTTTCTCTTCCCACCACACCTCTAAATCAGTCACCCTGACCTGGGTGACAGGGATGATGTCTTTAATATATTTAAAATTAAACTCCAACATCCAACAAGTCTCTTTGCTTTTCTTTAAAAACAATTATTAATTTGCCCTAACCTATTTGGCTCAGTGGATAGACCGTTGGCCTGCAGACTGAAAGGTCCCAGGTTCGATTCCTGTCAAGGGCATATATCTTGTTGCAGGCACATCCCCAGTAGTAGGTGTGCAGGAGGCAGCTGATTGATGTTTCTCTCTCATCAACGTTTCTAACTCTCTATCCCTCTCTCTTTCTCTCTGTAAAAAAAAAAATCAATAAAATATATCTTTTTTAAAAACAAAAAAAATATTAATTTATTTGAAAGAGATATATAGAAAAACATTGCTTTGTTGTTCTTATTTACTCATCCATTGGTTGGTTCTTTTATGTGCCCTGCCTATGGATTGAAGCCACAACTCTGGCATATCAGGATAATGCTCTGACCAACTCAGCTAGCTGACCAGGCCAACATTCTCTTTCCTACAAAACTTCAAAATTTAAGTAAAATGTAGTATTTTAAGTAAGTGGGGAGAAAAGTATTTTCCTATGCTCCAATCTACATAGGTTTTTCAGTTTTCTTGGTAGGAAATCCTGATAATTACTTACCTTAATGGTGTCATAAGAATCCGTAATAAGCGCAATGAAAAGGCTGAGAATCATATATATAAAAAGGCTGATGAAGGAATATAAATAAAGGCGACTGAACAGCCACACCAAGACGCTCTTCTGCTGGATTTGAGCAAAGGTCGCAAACATATCATCACCGTTGACCAGAGAAAACAGACACTCAGAAACTGTATTCAGAGCTACAAACTGAAAGGGGGAAGCTAAAGTTAGTTTTTGAGATACATCATCCAAAAAAGCAGAGCTTTTTTATATCTAGTTAGCCTGTTTTGTTGAAGCTATTGTTGTCATTGCTATTATGAGTAACAACCATTTTAAGACAGCTGGAATACCAAAGTAGGAAAACATTATTTAAAACTCCCTTGTGCACTCACAATCTCTAGACATGTCCCTCACTTTTTTCCTATACATTTTTATATATTTGTAGTCTAACCATTTTGGACCTTGATTTCTTTTTCCCTACTTAGCATCATCTTACTTACACTTAGCATGTCAGATAACAGAACTTTCCTCAGAAATGTCAAGTTTAACTATTTCCCTGTCATTGGATATCCCAATAATATTTGCTATTATAAAGAGCAATGTGATGAACATTTCTAAGCATAATGTTTTTTCCTGATATTGGGTCTAAGTGATTAATATTTTTAAGGCTGCAGCTGGCTAAACAAACCGCTTTCTGAAAGAACTATAGCAATTACATTCTACAACCAGCAAAGATGGAAGTGCCTGAGACATGGTATAGGCTCAAAAAAATATTGCTGAATCAATAGTTCCACTGTAGCCTTTCTAACCACGGGTTGGGGTGGTTTTAGCACATTCAAAACCAAAGATGATCATCAATGGGAGAAGGAAAGATGATGATCATGCCCAGTGCCTTCCAGGAGCTCCTGGCTAACAGTGGACAGGCCACAACCAATGTATTCCAGCATCCTATGGGAGAGGGCTGTGTGAGGAAGGGACCCTCAGAACGAGGGCCTGAGGCGGAGTTCACCAGTGTGAGGAGGAAGGGAAGGGTGTGCTCCGTGAATACGGGGAATTCAGCGCCGAGCCTAAGAGGCGGCCAGAGAGGCATGCCTATGCCACCCTGAGAAAGCCTCGCTCATCTTCCACATGCTTCAAACTTTTACAGGCCAGGACTGGGAACCAGGAAAAACCTGAGGCCAAAGAGTGATCTGATCTGTTTCTAAAGGGCAAGCCTGGCATGTGGAAGATCTCCTAGACCGGGAACAGCCCAGGGCAGGGACACGCGGCAGGGGTGAGTGCAGGAGCCAGGAATGCACAGGGTCCAGATAAGACTGGAAAAAGAAGAATCTGAGGGGAGGGGAGGGAGGAATAAGCCTGGGAAGGGACAAGGGAGAGGGACTACAAATGGACTCAGCTTTAAAGCTTGAGGTGCCAGGTGGAAATGCTGACATGAGGGGTTCGGAGGCATGCACCTGGAGTTCTGGAGCTGAGTTGAGGGTTGTGTTTCAACTGCAATCCCCAGATGGCCATCCCAACATCTGGGGCTGACAAACTCCTGCCACATCGACTGAAAACGAACAGTGGGTGCTTCATAAACTAACATCTTAGGGCCAGAGGGTTAACATTAAATGAAAGCTTCTAAAGAACAATAATGACCTAACTGGTAAAAGATGGTAGGGTTTCCAAAAACACTGAGGGAACAAGCTACCTAGAGTTCTGAACCAAATGGTTAGCTGTGGGGGCCATGTGCCTATTAAGTCAGTGTGGCTCTGGGGACAGCCATGTCCCTGGTGAATCTCCACTTGGAAGTTGTGCTACTACTTCACACGCAACAAAATAAAACCTCCCACCCCCGAACCCGGAAATGGGGCTTCCCCTCTGACTGCCTTGCTCCTGGTCAGTGATTTCAGCCTCCTACCAAAGAAACATTTACTCCCAGATAATCGGGTACTTAAAACTACAAGTTGAATTGATTGTTCTTCCCCTCTCTTCACTCTGTGAAGGTCTGCTGCTCCTCCGTTTCCCTGACCCAGTCTCTACTCCATTCTCAGGTCCACACTCACGTCTGGATTATTCCAGAAACTCTGAGGAAATCTTTACTCCAGCCTCTTTGCCCTCCAGGCCAAGCTGTGGTCAAGTCTAAACTTCCCAGAATGCAACCTTCAGGTCATTTCTCTGGCATTAAGATTATACGACGTCTGGATGCAAAGTAAAAATTCACACCAACATGGCTGGGACAGGCCCTCCTTCGCGTGGCTTTCTTCCATCTCCCCACTGTCAACATTCTCTCGTGCTTTCCTCCTCCTACAACACCAGATCCATTTCTCCATCGTTTCCTCCTGGGAGTTACTCTCTTCATCTGATACCTTCTTCTGTGTTCAACAAAGCCACTGTAAAGGGCTATTTCAAAGTCTACCTCGAGACAGGGTGCCTTTGCAGCTCTAGTCCCTTCTCTGTATCAGTGAGAACCACAGCGTAAACTACTGGTTGGCCTTCTAATTGGTTTTGAACCCTTTCTGCATACTCCAACTGGATGGAAACACCGTGTCCGACCCTCCCTCCTTCGTGACTGGATGCACAGGGTAAAGTCTGTGGCCGGGGCAGCAGACACAAATGTAACCCAAACAGGGATCCTATCCCAGGCCTTTGCTGCATCAGCAACAGCTCCAGAGCTACTCTCCACAGAGACCTGGAGGGAACATCCAGTTGAGCTAAGCACAACAATATGCAAATTGTTTAACAGTATGACAGGCAGTTCTCCGAGGACATACTTACCACCTAGCCTTCAGACAACAAAGCTAAAGCTGGTTTCTATGGCTAGCAATTACAACCCTCACAGCACCATTCATATTTCATGTTTCTCATGGTTTACTTTGGAATCTGGCCAATTCCTTTGTTTAGTTTCCACAACCCCTCACAGTCTGTGCTTCAGGTTCCAGAATTGCAAATAGCTGGTTGGTTGGTACATACCCAATTCATCCCTTCGTTTCCAATGCCACGACTTAGTGTCAGCTTAGAAACAATACCTGTCTCAACATTAACGTTATTCATAGCCATTATGCTTCTCTCTCCTCTATGCGGGTGAGGCTTATTTTAACCCAGCAAAATGTCAAAATGGAGATGCAATAAGGTAAGTGAGGGCATACACCTTGTCACTGGTACCACTAATTGGTACCAGGTGGCTGTGAACCAGTCACTTTCAGGGGCCAAACTCCACAGAAGTGAACATTAGAAACAACCAAAGTGAGGAGAAGTGAGGTCCTAAAGTGCTTCCAGGCTGGAAGGACTGCATTTAGAGGGAGCTGCTGTGGTTCTGAGGCCCTGGAAAGCAGGTACTACTGTCTCTCTGTTTCTTGCTCAGTAACAAACCTGAAGAATCCCCGCCATGTTCTGTGCTGGGCCCGGGGAATGCAAACAGCATTGAGCTACAGTCACTGCCCTCCAGGAATCCAGCCTAGAAGGCTGACATGCTTGCAGTGCAGCAGACATTTAATGAATATTAAGTGGGTATTTCCATAGAGAGTCCCCACACGTCCTCTGGAACCACAGTGTGAACCCAAGCATTTGTTTCACAAATGATATTTTTTTAATTGAACCAGAAAGAACTTTTTTTAAAATTTAAATTAAAACATAACCTGCAACAGCTTATGTCAGAGAAGAACATAAAAATCACTTTCAAAAGCAACATTTAGGTTTAATGTTTTAACTGGCTAACAGGTCTTTTGAATAAGAGAGGTACTTGGCTAAAACTAGAGACTTTGAGAGCAGGTTCTGCCAAAGTGTTATCCATGGCATCAGCAAATCCAACAACGTTTCCATGCCTTGGTCTTCTCTTTTCTGAAATGGGGACAATGCAAGACTATGCCTTATTCTTCACAGCAAAAAAGTCCTCCAGAAATGTAAAAGTTACATTAGAGTAATGTTCTTCCAGACCTGGTTTTGAATTATTAATCAACAGTCTCTAGCCCTCTGTGCCAGACATTTTGAAAGGGCACTGTGCCAAAGTCCATTAGTGCAGGTATCGATACCGGTGGGACAATGCTTGCATTGCTTCCTTCTTTCAGCTGGACCATTGGAATCTAATGTCTACCATGAAAACAGGAAGTGAAAAGAGGGGTCCTGCTACCAGTCAAACAGCAGTATACAACTAGTTTTCCTGAGACCTCCTCTAGAGTGGCTGCAGAAACACCAATGATGAGAGAGAATCATTGATTGGCTGCCTCCTGCACACCCCCTACTGGGGATCGAGTCCACAACCTGGTCATGTGCCCTGACCAGGAATAGAACCATGATCTCCTGGTAGATTGGCCAATCCTCAACCACCAAGCCACCTCTATGGGTTATAGTGGATGGACGGTTTGCTTAAAGAAAGAGTTAACTTCCACACCTAAGGTGGCTATGATTCTAGACCCTAGAAAACGCTTGCTGTGCTGTCCAGCTTTTGAAGGCTTCGGGTATTACAGAAGGTCTTCTGAGTCAACAGAGACTGGCTGGCAGAACCTGAATGGGTGACAGTTTGAATTAATTGGAGGAGTGGGGAGAAACTTGGGAGGCAGGAAGTACTTCTAACTTCAGACTTAAAGAAGCAGCAAGTGGAGAAGGAAAGCATGGAGTCCTGATACAGACTGAAGATTTTCTTCTTCCACTGACTGGTGCATTCAGTAAAGTAACTGAACTCTGCACTTCCCCAATGGGTGGAGATGGGACACAGATGCCATAGACAGGCCTGCTAGGCAGCCCTGGACACCGCCCTTAGCCCTGCTCCTGTGGGGAAAATGGAGGCGGATGCTGACATACACAGGCGGGAGGTGCAAGCATGCCCTATGGTAGCTGCCAGCCACATGTGACTGTGGAGCACCTGCTGGGTTGTCAGGGTAAAATATACACTGAATTTTGAAGATTTATTTTTAAAAAAAGAGTGCAAAATATCTCAATGTTTAAATAAAATATATAATATTAAAATCACAATTGTATCTGTTTCTTTTTTTTTAATTCTCAGTGTAGCTCATGGAAAAATTTGAAGCCTCCTGTGGCTCTCATTTGTAGCGCTCGCTGCACTTTCATTGGACAATGCTGGTCCAGAGCATCCCAGTCTCACCTGAATCCTTGGATAGGACAGGATTAAACATATGAAAATGCAGTCAGATCCTCAAAGCAAATAGAGAGAAATAAGACTATTTATGTTGCTCTCCTGACAGAACTGATCTATTCAGTCAAACGAAATGCTCATTTGCAATGGTCTGTGCTAGGTAATTCTGAGAAAAGCCCTAATGGGTATTGATCAAAGATGTGCATTGGGGTCAGGCAACCTGAATGTGAATCCTATCTCTGCCGTTTACTGGCTGTGTAGCCTCAGGAAAATTATTGAACACAGTAAGATCCCCATTTCCTGTAGGGCTACTGAGGAGTCAACATAGCAAGGGAGTTAAGGAACTTGGATCCTATATCTATTGGGCACATAGCATTCAAGAATGGTAAATTATTAGTAAAATTCAAGTAGCATTAGTAAAATTCAAGTAGCATTATCTGAGCACCTTCCAGGACAATGATGGGGTAGGAAGATGAAGGATAAAAGAGATAGGACCATTTGTCCTGAGGCCTTGAAGCCCACGAATTAAAGCTGAAATCTGTACCAATAAACTGGTATTTATTTCAGACAGTGCAACACTGTCCTCTAGTGACAAAAATCTGGAGAAGCATGTGGCAAGTAAAGAAAAATGTTTGTTTTCCTGGGCACTCACTCACACAATTGGTTCTCCAGATCAGAGAGATCATATCAAAGAGCAAATTTAATCATGACTCAGTGGCAAGGAATAGGAAGAGCAATGATATCAAGATTCGCTATTAGCCCAGGGACTGTCACTTTGTTCATTATGCCTTTTCTCCAACTGGAAAACAATGATTCTCTTTGGATGTATCAAATGCAACCCCGAAAGAGGAGGAAGCCTGGATGTGTGCCAAATTACTAGGACATATTCAAGTAGGACATCGCACAGAGCTCGACCTGTCTGGATTGCTCGCTTTTTGTGAACAGTGTATAAACCAGATATAAGCAGATGTTTTGTTTAAGACAACGGGAGAGGTCAGAGGTCGAGGCTAAGCTGAAATACAAGCGTTAGCGTAACCCTTTGCATTTCGCCCCTTTTCTTCTCGCAGAGCACCTGAGCCAGGAGAACAGGGCCAGGGCCTGTTGCGGAGAGTAAACGGACGAGAGGACAGAAATGCTAAGCACACAGTGTGGGCTGCTGTTATTTTTGTTGTATCAGTGGCTCCCACCGCCAGAGGCCCAGGGAAGAAAAACTACAAGTTGCAATAACTCCTTTTCCTTTTTTTGTTTTTGTTTTTGTTTTTTGGTTTGAAAACAGGGCCTACCTACTTTCATTTCTTGACATTTCCACCAATCAATGTTTTATTTTTTAAAACAAGAGGAGCACAACTTTGAGGTCCCTGAGGGTATGATGCTGACTGAAGTCCAGCAACCGTTTGGAATTCTGATGCTGATCTTCCACAGGCAGAGGCGATCAAAACCACCATCACAGACAAGACATGTTTCATTTTAATCATAAACCTAATGTGGTCTATGGTGGGCACTCTGTCCACCTTTGTTCTCCTCAATTAATTGGGACGAAAACCCTAATACATTAAATTAGAAAGAGTTTGTCATAATCCTCCCCATTCTATTTTTGTTTTTCTTATAGGATCTCATATCCAGGCACTTCTTATTTGACAACTGGCTGTGCTGGTATGTGACCCATGAACCAGTCCCAGACAACTCTGAAATGTGCTCTCCACTCCCTCACAGCGGTGTCAACATCCAGAAAAAGAAAGGGAAAAGAAACCCGATACAAAGATATGGCTTTCCTGACACCGAGGGTAGGTGCTGGGGGAGAGTGGGAAGAAGGTGAAGTCCTGGAAACCCATTTTTCAGGTGGAAGAACCAGGGCTACTCACCTTGTTGTGATACGGGCCTAAGACGATCCAGCCGCAGAAGGTGTAACCCAGGTAGATCATCCCCGCGCAGGCGCAGAAGCGGAGCACCTTTGGCAGCGAGGCTTGCATTGTCAAAATGAGCACCTGGAAAGACACCGGCAGAGCGGGGGGGATTAAAAAGGAGCTTACTGGAACCCGAAGAAGAAATTAATCTCAATCCTATGACAGGACCCGATGCTGCATCCTTACATTATATGTTTGGAAGTAACCTAGGTATCGGATGACTCCAACCCAGACAAGAAGCGTGGACGTTCCAAGCAAAATGCTGCACAGATCGTAATTTGTGATATTCTAAGGAATGGAAAAACAGATGTGAGTGACATATTCTGCTCTCCTCAGCCTTTTTTTTTTTTTTTTTTTAATATATTTTATTGATTTTATACAGAGAGGAAGGGAGAGAGATAGAGAGTTAGAAACATCGATGAGAGAGAATCATCGATCAGCTGCCTCTTGCACACCCCCTACTGGGGATATGCCCGCAACCAAGGTACATGCCCTTGACCGGAATCGAACCCGGGACCCTTCAGTCCCCAAGCCGATGCTCTCTCCATTGAGCCAAACCGGTCCCGGCTCTCCTCAGCTTTTTAATCCCACTTTAAGTTGATAGGGAAAGAATGGACTGCCTGCTCTCTACAGGAGATCCTAAGGGTTTCTAAACAAAAGAGGAGAGTAATAGAGAGCACAGTCCCAAATGTGTTTCTTCTTTCCTTTTAGTATTTCAATTGGTTCAGCTTTTTGTTCAAATAATATCCTGAAACAGAAAATGCATTTACTTAGGCATTAAAGAATATAAACTAATGGTGTTCGTTAAATATGAAATGATACCAGTCAGCTACTTGTGAAAGAAAGCTCAAACATGATTGGCTAACACAGTTCCTGCTCTTGAGAATTTCTGGATCTAATTGAAGAGACACACACACAACCACAATCTATACTAATAAAAGGGTAATATGCTAATTATACTGGACATCTTCTGGACATCCTTCCAGATGTCCTTTTGGACAAAGCCATGATAATGGGGCCAAGCAGAGGCAGTTAGGGGAGATCATGCTAGCAGGGGAGAGCAGTTAGGGGCAATCAGGCTGGCAGGGGAAAGCAGTTAGGGGTGACCAGGCCACAGGGGAGGGCAGTTAGGGACAACCAGGTCTGCAGGAGGGGGTGGAGTTAGGGGAATCAGGCAGGCAGAGTGGTTAGGAGTCAGCAGTCCTGGATTGCAAGAGAGATGTCCAACTGCCAGTTTAGGCCCAATCACTGGGATTAGGCCAAAACCAGCAGTTGGACATCCCCCAAGGGGTCATGGATTAGAGAGGGGGCAGGCTGGTCTGAGGGAACCCCTCACTGGGCCCCTAGTTTTAATACAATATGCTAAGTGCTGTGAGAGACACAGTGCCCAGGTTGTCACAAAGCACTTTCCATGGGCATGACCCAGAGTGGGGCTGGGCCTGGAAGATATTTGGCTCTGTTAACTAATGAGTTTGCCGACCACTGTCCTAGTATGGATGGCTCAGTGAATCTCGGGCAGGAGAGGGAGGCAGAGCTAGATAAGGAGGACCCTGGAGGCCACTCCACCCAAGGGGTATCCACGAGAAGGGACTGTAACAGCAGGATAGACACCGCCAGGGGCTTTCCTCTGACAGCTGTGTGGATGGATCTGAGGGATGTCAGGCTGAAGGCAGACAAGCAATGAGGAGATGGCTGCAGCAATCCAGGCCAGAGAGGAGCCGGCCCAAAGGAAGGAGAGGTCTTCAGGATGGACAAGTGGGAGCTATGTTAGTGTCGGGAAAGTTAGGTAGACTCCCCCCATGGACAGCACAGCCTGGAGGGGAGAATATCTGGGTGAAGGGTCAAGACTTTGTCCTAAGATCAATTCAATGAAATTCTGTGCAGTCAGGCACCTGGCAGACACTCTAATAGTCCTACCCTCACCCCCATCTTCCAGATCACCCACTGGGCAGGACTGGTTCTTGATAGAACTGGTTTGTGGATCACTGCTTCTCTTGCAATTTTGTTTTTAAATAAATGAAATCCACCCAAACAAACAATCTTCTCAAACTCTAGTTCCTATGCTCAAGAAGCTGCAAGCTTCCTGGGGATATTCATAGGGATATCATCTTCCCAGAACATCAGCTTCTTTATATTCCCTCGGCAAGGAATCAGGTCAGAGGAGGCTTATGGTATATGGAAGCGAGAAAAGGGAAAACATGAGAATCAAACTAGTCTCCACAAGGAATTTATATCCTAAAGGATCACCCAGGATAGAAAGAGCAGCAGACTTAGAGTGGGTGGCCCCTCACCTTTACTTGAATTTCCATTTTGAGGATGGATCCAATGATTGTCATTAGGTCGCTGATAATCACTAGGACATACCAACCATTGATGAACTCCCACTGGTCAGCATTACATACATGTCGCTGGTACTTCTCCAGGAAGAAATTTAGAAATCTCTGCAGCAAACATTTTAATATATTTTATTGATTTTATTTTTTTGTACAGAGAGGAAGGGAGAGAGATAGAGAGTTAGAAACATCAATGAGAGAGAGTCATTGATCAGCTGCCTCCTGCACACCCCCTACTGGGGATATGCCCACAACCAAGGTACATGCCCTTGACCGGAATCGAACCCAGGGCCCTTCAGTCCCCAAGCCGACGCTCTATCCATTGAGCCAAACCGGTCCCAGCTGCAGCAAACATTTTAAAAAGCATTTCTTACAAACCATACTGCCCTCTGGAAGGAGAAGATAAGTGCAAAACAGAGCTCTCACCTGTAACAGGATACGGTGCTACCTATCCTTCTCGAAGCTGGAGACTACGCCCACACTTCCCCCCTCACCTGCCCAGCTAGACTGAAGCCTTCAAGTGCCTACCAAGAGAGCTCAAACATTATATGCTTATGCTCTTATCTCCAACAGACTCTTGTAAAAGCTGTCACAAAGTACGTCCCAAATATGTTACTTCATCACCTCATTCAACCAGACAGCACCCTGTGAACCAATCATTGGTAGCCTGATCTTCCAGAGGAGAGAACTGAGGCTGGGAAGGTGGAGCCAGGATGGCATTCCAGCTCCTGTGTGTGTGCTCCCAATGCCCACCCCCTGCTTAGGCAGAACCAGAATCCTGACCTGGAATCAGAATATCAGGGGACTTGGGGGGAAGGGACAGTAAGACAAATGGATATTTACAAAATAAGTTGACGGAGGTCAAGAAGGAGAAAAATAGAATGAAGACTGTTTTCTTGCTCCACCAATGGCATGCTGATGACTCCGTGCACCTGACCCCATTCTGCATTTCCACACATGCCACAAGCCAGAGGAAGATTTGTGGGGAGCTGGGATATAGCTTCACGAGAGCCCCAAGAGTAACAGGTGAAATGAAACTCGGGGGAGAATTTCCAAGCTATTTAAAATACAGAATAAAGTATTTTATGCTTCATTATAACCCATGTATCATGCCCCCTGTTGAAATGAAATCTGATTAGAAGGCAAAAGATGAAACCCACACGTGCTATTATTCTGTTCTTAAGATTTACTCCTGATTCAAAAGGGTCTCATTTATTCTGGAAACATTCAAGAGCTTGAGAGCTCACCATTGTGCACCTGTGTTCATTGGTTCTGTTTTAAGCAAGATAATTATCTGATCCCACCTGACATGGTGGGAGCTGGCACTCACCCTACACACCTCAAGTTGATGAATGCCTTTTAGGAGGCAATCACTCAAAGGAATCTAATTTAGTCAAAAGCTCCAGAAAGGACAGGGTGACCCAACACCAAGGCCCACTGTTTGAACAAACTGAGGGTGGAGGTCAAAAGGGGGAAAGAAAATTCAAGCATACATACCTTTCGTAAGCGTAAAGCAAGAACAATGGATCTTGTGCACAGAATCAGAGACGCCAAGCAAATCACAATGACAAATGAATCAAACAAAAGCATATATTGAGTATTCTTCTGAACTAAGGAACAAAAATGATAAACACACCTCACTGGGGAATAATTTCTGACAAGATGGTAGTCAAAAAAGAAGTTTAAATGATAAATTCAAAAACATCAGAAACAAATCGCGATACATTCACTCAGAAGTCTACAAATAAGGTAAAACTTCTTCTGTTATTAAGAGTTATACATTTGAAAACATATAAACTCTTAAGAGATGTAATAAATGTATTTGTAAATATTTACATAGACTATAATTTGACAGAAGGTGGTCGGTCCATTTGGGCTCCATTCACAAGAGGCAAAACTATTGGCACACTCTGAGGTCTTTCACATATGAGCACAAACACCATGTTTCCCACGAGGAAACAAATAATTTAAAATACCTCTAACTCGGACTCCCCATTTCTGTTTCTCAATCTTACTGTGTACTTTCCCAGCATTCAATAAGCTCTTTCTGCACAGGGAGAAAATAATCTCTTGGAATGGTTGTAAGAAGGGGAGTACATCTTGGCACATAGTAGCATGGGGAATGTACTGGAGGAAGATGAAATTGTAACCTCAGCTTCTCTCAGACTTTATGGAATTTTCCCAAATACCAACAATGGCTCTCCCTGCCCTATCCATCCCTGCAGTCCCATCATCTGCTAGTTGCTTCTTTCCCCTCCAATCCCCCCCCACTCTCTCTCTCTCTGTCTCTCTTTCTCACTTTCTCTCCCTCTCTTTTTCTCACTTTCTCTCTCTCTCTTTTGCCTCAGGGGCTTTGCACATGATGATCTCTCTGCCTGGAACAGCACCCTCTCCAACACACATGTGAAGATGATTCTTTTTCAGCCTGAGGTTTCAGAGTGAGTATCATCTTCTCAGAACAAAATTCCCTATATTCACATCTTTATTAGCCCCTTCCCTACTCCAGAGCACTCTCCATAATGTACACACCTATAGTATCCTTTACGTGATGACAACTGAACTTCAAAGAGAGCACAGCAAGGAACAGAGAAGTGGAAAATGGGAAAGGACATGGCCTCTGGGGGCCTGAAACCTTGGGTCTGAATCTCAGCCCTGCATCAGAAGCTGAGCAGCCTTAGGGAAGGTGCCTCAGTTTTCTCACCCAAAAAGTGGGTAGAATTAAAAAACAATAATCACAGGGCTGTTGAGAAGATTAGACACGTTCATATATGAAAGCACATGAAACAACACAGTGATTACTATGGAATCATTCAATGCCCATCTTCCCCACCAAATGGATGGCTCTGGGAGGCAGGGATCATATGCATTTTGTCAACACTACAGTGCCTTTGCTTAGCATAATGCTTCAGTGTGCTCACAAGTAAATGCAGGGACTCCAGCAGAACATGAGAAGAGCACTGAATAATCTAAGTTATTAGATTATTCAGAATGTGTGAAGGTCTGAGCTAAGTCAGAGGCAGAGAAGGCACAGAAGGAGGAGGCACAAAGTGGTGAGAGATGAAGCAGAGAGAGGCAACATGGTCTCCAAGCGGACTTGGGGAACAAGGAAGAAGGACCAACTAGGCACAATTCCTGGTTTCCTGTCCTCTGTAAACTGAGCTCTGTCTGGATGTCCATGACAAGAGAGGATGGCTCAGTGGCAGCTAAAGCCACAAGTGTGGGCACAGGTACTCAGGCCACAGAGAGAAAAGCAGACAGGTCAGGGGGACAGTAATGCCTGAGAATTAGAAGAGGAAATGAGCTCAGGAACAAGATGGAGAAAGGCCAGAGGAGAAGGAAACAGGCCTGGGGACAGGCAACCTTCCAAGGAGTCCAGATTCAGAGTGCTCCTCAGCGACACCTCCGCAGAGAAGCTTTTAAGAGAAAGATCGGAGTATCCACAGACTTATTAATAACAAGGGTGTGAGTGACAACAGCATGAGTGTCTGGGTAAAGCTGCTCACAGCCAGCCAATACACATAACTCACTGAGTGACCTATTTACTGTTTAGCCTCGCTAAGCAGGCTTCAGGTGCCTAGGCTACAAAGTGGGGGAAGCAACTGTGTCTGCCCCAAGGGCTGTCAGGAAAGCAGGTAAAACATCTGTGCAGAAACCAGGTAGAGTCGTGCCTGACATCTAGCACTGACATTTACCTTTAGCCATTTTATACGTCAGACGTTTAAGTAAAAAAGCAAAGCAACTTAATTTGACTAGAATCCAGGACCGACCCCTCCCTCCCTTCCCTCTTCCTCTTTCCTGTCCTTCTTTCCTTCCTTCCTTCCTTCCTTCCTTCCTTCCTTCCTTCCTTCCTTCCTTCCTTCCTTCCTTCCTTCCTTCCTTCTTTCCTTCCTTCCTTCCTTCCCTTTTTCCCCATGGATGAGGCAGAAGGATTAGAGGCAGTTCATGGGAAAATGGGACTGAAAAACCTCATAAAATGCAAGGATAGCATCTAGTACCTTCCTATCTAACATAGAGCTAGACCAAATCTCTAAGATTGCTCTTAGTGGGAAAGCTGAGGCCCCGAGCTCGAAAGAGAAATCATCCCTCCTCACAGAGAAAACAGTATTGTATCGTTTTACTTTATTAGGAAGACTAGTTTGGGGTGCTACAGAAAGTATTTTATGAACACTGTAATTGCTCTCTTACTCTATTGAAACTCTGTTACCCCTATGGGAACATTGCCCCAAACACTAGTCCAGAGAGATGCCTCTGCCCGCCTGGTTGTCATTTGTTCCTCCCAGAGGCTGTGAGAAGTCCCCCTACACCACTACTGCCTGCCTGTGTGGCTCTAACCCAGGGCTTCCCACACTTACTAAACTCCTTTCCCCTATGACACCCTTTACATCAGCCACCAATGGGGAGTCCTGCCCACCAATACCTCCTCCAGCCCCTCATGCCCAAATTGCTACACTCATAAAATCAAGTTAAAGTGAAGATTAATAGCACCCTTAGGAACCAGTATTAGAAGTCAAAAGAAGCAACATTTGGTTTGTACATGAAAATGGACATTCCCTTATATTTTGCCCTGAGATAACATAGGCAATGATGAGAGGGAGAGTATATGAATGTGAATGATCTCAGAAGTTTTGGAAATAGCGCAAGGATCTCACCAGATGTTACCCTTGCCTTTGTCCCACTTCCTGTCTTTCCACTTCCCCAAAGCCAGGCCAACCAATCAGACTGGGGGAGGAAGGGGACATGAACGTGGGGGAGGGAAGGGAGCTCCATGTCCTAAGCTTGTTTCCAAACTTCAGATTTTTTTCAAAGTTTTCACATCATTTTATTTTAAATTCATATTTTCCTAGTAACAGAATCTGCTTTCTTATAGCTCTGGAAGCCTATACAAATGTTAGTGTTTCTCCTCACTGGCCACAGGAGGGAGCCAGACATCCTTTCTCCATTTAAAATATATATATATATTTTTAAATCATTTTTTAATTTTTCAATTACAGTTGGCATACAATATTACATTAGTTTCGGATGTACAGCACAGTGATTAGACATTATATTACTCACTAAGTAATCATCCTGATAAAGCTCATATCCACCTGACACCATACATAGTTATTAGAATATTATTGACTGTATTTCCTATGCTGTACTTCACATCCCCATGACTATTCCATTACTACCAACTTGTACTTCTTAATTCTCCACCCAACTCCCAAGCCCCTCCCATCTGGCAACCATCCAAGTGTTCTTTGTATCTATGAGTCTTTCTCTTCTACTTGTTTATTTTGTTTTTTAGAATCAATTGTTGGTAGATATGTATTTATTGGCACTTTATTGTTCATATTTTTTAAATCTTTTCCTTCTTCAAGAAACATTTCATATAATACTGGTTTGGTGGTAATAAAAAAAGGGGGGGCATAGAAACTATAAAAAAAGAGCCAGTCTGAAATGAAGGATACACTAACTGAAATGAAGAATAATTTACAGGAATCAACAGTAGAGAATATGAAGCCAAGAATCAAGAGAGCAAGTAGGAGTATAAGGGAGGAAAAAAAAAAAAAACCTATTCAGAATAGCATAAAGGAAAAAGAATCACTCCCTAAAATGAGGAGATTGCAAGGAGCCTCTGGGACAACTTCAAGCAAACCAACATTCACATCATGGTGGTGTTGGAAGCAGAAGAGAGAGAGCCAAAAATTGAAAACCTATTTGAAAAATAATGATAGGAAACTTAGGGAAGTTTGCCCCAGTCAAAATTAACCTTGGCTTTCTTTACCGTCATGCCTTTCGTACCTCCATCACTATGGCTGTCCGTGACATATTGAGATTTTAAAAGCACATCTGTCTCCCTCGCTAAAGTGTTTCCTTTCTTATCCAGAGTGCTTAGCAATTACTATATGCCAACTCTTGTTCTCAGTGCTTTGCTTTATAATCTAACTAATTTAATGGAAGGTAAGTACTATTCTCACCCTCATTTTGAAAAGTACTAAGACATAGAGAGGTTAAATAATTTTTCCAAGATCACAGACATAGTTAACAGAACCAAGATCCAAACCTAAGCAGTCTGGCTGCCAAGGCTGTACCCTAAGCACTGTGTATGCTGCCTCTTCTAAAAGGTATATAATCAATATTTGTTGAATTTAACAAAAATGGGAGGCTTCCGGCTATGCTTTACAGAATTTAATGCTCAAGGTCTGGTTTTCGGGAGCCTTTTCTTTCTAATCACCATCCAAGTCAACCATGTAAACATCTGAAATTCCAAAATAAAATGCTAAAAATCCTCCAATGTAAGACACTTACCAGATCCAGATATCTTTAAGTCTTTACATTCTTCAATGTTAGCATCACTGTCAAAATAGATTTTGATTTTGCCACTGTGAGCTCTGTTGTCGAAGGTAATCTGGAAACACAAATGTATGAAGAGCAGCACATAGGACTTGTTAGATGGACTCTGCTTAAAATTTTAATGGCATCCAAACAGCAGGCTGGCCCAAAAATTGTACTGATGACAATGCCCTCATCACATGATTCTTCACAGCTTTCATTAATGAAAAAATAGAGTCCAAAGACAGCTCTATATGAAGTTCTACTAAACCCACAAGCAGGGTAGGAGAAATACAAAAGCAAAACAACCAGTAAGTCCTAGGAACAAACATGAAATTCACCAGCCTTTGACAAGAGAACACAGTACCTCATTGACTGCACTGAATGCAATCTCAAAGCATTTGCTTCAAGTTAGTCTTTTGGGTATGAAATTCTAGGTTTCTACTAGGTTAGAGATTAGTTTTCTGTTCATATCAAATGCTATATATAATGTTTTCAGAAATGGCAAAGAATGCCTTAAGGCCGCAGGCTGAATTTAAGATTGCCTATGACTCATTACTTCCACTATTACCCTTTCATCACTTAAAATTTGTAAGTGAAGTATGTTGGTTATTTTAGGCCTTGAGAGAAGTAATTTTGGGGTTTTTTCTTGGGGAAAATGAGACATCAAGTGCCAGGGTTAGTGGAGACTTAGTCACAGCTCAGAGGTATAGAAATGAGGCCTGTAGGGTGAATTTTCGAACCTCTAGTTTGGTCATAGTGATATAATTGGGTTACACAGAGTGTGACTTGGGTCCAGAGATGCCCAATGCTTATAGATTTACTCATCGGTCAGCTACACTTTCAGCTCTCAAGTTCTCTGCCTGTGAACTTCCTTAATTTCATCATGTGATTCAGAATGTGTAGGTCACTCCAGGGCCACTAATCCTGCTCTTCTCTTCCTTACCACAAGTCACCATTAGTGATTACTTTTATTTCTTAGTTTACTTGTTTTTCTCTCTCTCTTCCACTGAGCTGAAAGCTTCAACTGCACCTCAAGAGCAGGACAGTGTGTGGTGCATAGTAGGGACTCATATTTACGGACTATTGAATAAAGTATTCTCCTGAGTTGCTAAAAGATAATTGCATACAATGTTCAGCTCAGCATCCAATTTTGCTCTTCCATGAACATGAAGAAGGGAGGGAGGGAGTTAAGGAAAAAGGAAGGGAGAAGGGAGGGAGAAAAGAAGGGCATGAAATTCTATGAAAGTGAGAAGTCAGAAGACAGGTGACTGTCCCCACAAAACTGAACAGTCCCTTCATTGCACAAGCCTCCTCCCAAAATAAAAAAGCGACAACTGATCCTCTGCAGAATGGCCTTCCGATCAAGGGGGCATGTCTGCCTGGAGGCTTGAAAGCGTTTGCTACATTTGCAAAGACCTTTCTTTGGAAGTGCAGAAAGTATTATATACACTTAAAACAATTGTCATAAACTTTTTTTAAAAAATGTATTAGAAGAGTAAGTGCTCAGAGCCAATTTGGAAACTTCCCTTTTCAACGCAGAAATTTAGTTTTTAAGACATTAGAAAAAGCTTTGCTTTCTTTTCAGACAAAACAGTCTCTGGATGAACAATGCTATCGTGCCATTCAGCTCTTTTAAGCACGACTGCATCTGACACATCTAAAGGCTGGTGTGCTTTGCACTGCGCATCTACAGGAGGGGGAGGGAAGCATAAGAAGCAGTGGCCGAGTAAACAGACACTTGCCGTGTTCTGAAAGACATAACAGTCCGGTAACTCTCGGGAAAGCATCGTCTGCAGGTCAATGCCTTTGAGGTGAAAGGAGATCTCAACCTGTAAGAGCCTGAATAAAAAATATCACAAGGTAAACATTGTCAGAGTCTTTTCCATCTTACTCTCCTTCCCTCCCTCAATGTCTGTCGCTTCAGAAATGAGACTGAAAACGTGTTCACCTATAAAATTCCAGTCTGAAGAATGATGAGTTCTTCCAGTCCTCAGCGTTCTTGGAGAGGCCCTGGGGGTCCAAGTAAATGCAGTCTAGACCAACGGAGAACAACAAGTGCTTCAGGTAAAAATCAGATGCTAAAACCAGTGGGCTGAAGGACGCAGAGAAGCAGAACACTTCCAACGCATCTCCCCATGGAGTACTTAGGAATTGCAACAGGAAGACCGGTAACTACAATGGAGAAGCTGGCAGGTAGCAGCAGCCTGCCTAAGTGATCCACGTTCACATGGCCAGTAACGAGATAGAATGACACCTCCTGAAATAATGTACTGCTGGTGTGCTATTCTCGCTAAAATGCGTAACCACAATCTAATCCGAAAGAAACAGAAAAACCCAAAGTGATGAATATTTTACTCTTTAAAAATGTCAAAATTTTCCCCTGGCGAGTGTGGGACAGTTGGTTGAGCATTGACCTATGCACCAAGAGGCCGCAGGTTCAATTCCCATTCAGGGCACAATACCCAGGTTGCAGTTAGATGCCCAGTCTGCTGGGTGCATACACACATTGATGTCTCTCTCTCTCTCTCTCTCTCTCTCTCTCTCTCTCTCTCTCTCTCTCTCTCTCTCTCTCTCTCCCCACCCCTCTATAAAACAAATAAAAAATACTTTTTTTAAAAAATGTCACAGTCATAAAAAACAACAGCCACACAACCCAACAACAAACCAAGGAACTAATTTGCTCCAGATTAAAGGAGACTAAAGAGGCATGACAACTAAATGCAGTATGTGATCCTGGACCAAGGAGAATGGGGTGGGAGGGGGCCTTTCTTTTGCTATAGAGAACATCAGGGCACCTGAAACGTGAATAGGGTTTGTAGAGTAAATGCTGTGCGATGTTTACTTGTGCCTTTGAGCCCTGTCCAGAGGTGATGTGGGGGACTGTTCCTGGGAAACACACACTGGAATATTGACAGGTAAAGGGACATCATGTCAGCCTCTTATTCTCATACATTTCAGGAGGGACATTTAAGCACCAGAGGTCCAGTGCATGAAATTCGTATGTGGGTACGGTCCGTAGGCCTAGCCTTCAAACGGGGCCATCTTTCCCAGCTGCCAGCAGCCAGCCTTGCCCCCTACTGCCAACCACCCGGTCCCCAGTTTGCCATTGGGCAACAGGAGCCTGAAGGCCCGGGGGAAGGACCGAGAGGTCAGCCATTCCCGCCCATCACCGACCCCACCCCCACTGCAGGTCACCCTCTATGTGTGCGGTGACCAGCAGGGTGGGGGCCTTGGCCAGGTGCCATGTGCAACACCCACCATCTACCCCCGAGTCCCCATTTACCATCAGGATATGGGAGCCTGTGGCTGGGGAAAGGGACTGAGAGGTGGTTATGCACCTCATAGTGACTAGTTGAGTGATCATTCTGGTTCTTCTGTCCTTATGGTCACTAGACTTTTATTACATAGGACTAGAGGCCCGGTGCATGAAATTCGTGCATCGGAGGGAGGTGTTCCTCAGCCCAACCTGCATCCTCTCCAATCTGGGACCCCTTGGGGGATGTCCGACTGCCTATTTAGGCTCAACCCGTGGGATTGGGCCTAAACAGGGAGTTAGACATCCCTTTCCTTTCACAATCTAGGACTACTGGCTCCCAACTGCTCACCTGCCTGCCTTCCTGATTGCCCCTAACTGCTTCTGCCTGCCAGCCTGATCATCCCTGCCAGCCTGATCAACAGCTAACTGCTTTTCTGCCAGCCTGATCATCCCCAACTGCCCTCCCCTGATATCCTGGTCACCCCTAAATGCCCTCCCTTGCATATTCCCTCCTTATTAGATAGGATTTTTTTTTTTAGCATATTGGACAATCCTAACTGGTTTGGCTCTGCTGATGGAGCATTGGCCTGCAAACTCAAGGATCCCAGGTTCGATTATAGTCAAGGGCATGAACCTTGGTTGGGGGCACATACCCAGTGGGGAGTGTACAGGAGGCAGCTGATCAATGTTTCTCTCTCACAGATATTTCTAGCTCTTTATCCCTCTCCCTTCCTCTCTGTAAAAAATCAATAAAATATATATTTAAAAAAAGAAACATTTAAAATTCCTCCGTATCTGCCTGGCTGGTATAACTCAATGGTTGAGACCGAGGCTGCCACCACTAGAAGGGGGTCACACTCTGGCCATGCTGAGACCCCTGCCCAGGCTGCTGCCATGGCTGGGGGATCACACGGCTTTGGCGAGTGGCCTTGCCAGCCTGAGATCCCAGCCCATATTGCCATCCGGGTCAGGGGATCATGTGGCTTTGGTGCAAGGCCCTGCCAGTCTGAGACCCCAGCCCAAGCTTCTGTCATTGGGGGCTGGTGCCTCCCAGCCAGACACACTGGGCTGCTGCCACTGGGCAGGGATCGCTGTGTGGGGGGCAGGCGCCTCCCAGATAGACACCCTGGACTGCTGCTGCTGGGTGGACTTAGGGACTCGGGCAAGGCTAAGAGGACTGGGTGCCACCATTTTGTGGCTATGGGCACTGCCATTTTTGTCACAGAGTGATGGTTAATTTGCATATTACTCTTTTATTAAAAAGGATAAGAAGAATGATAAAGCAAATGTGGTAAAATGTTAGCTCTGGGGAAATCTAGATAAAAGGTATATAAGGAAATTTCTCTGTTATTTTGCAAACTTTCTGAGTCACTTGACATTTTTTCAAAATAAAAACTGAAGAGAAAGGAACGTAGGTTGTATTCCAATAAAAATATAATATGAGCTTTAAACTATAAAAGAATGAGTCCAAGAGCCTCATATGAAAACGTGTCTCATTACTGTGTAGCCCAACACCTTAGCAGGAACCTGAGGAGGTTTAGAGCTGGTAAACACCTTTCAAAGGCACAGAGCCCTCACAGAAAGGCTGCCGTTCAGTCGACTTCACTGGCTCCTATTGGGGCTCTGGCTGCCTTTAAAATGGAAACGCTGGCCCAACCAGCATGGCTCAGTAGCTGAGCATCGACCTATGACTAGGAGGTCACAGTTCAATTCCTGCTCAGGTTGTGGGTTTGATCCCCAGTGTAGAGCATGCAGAAGGCAGCTCATCAATGATTCTATCTCATTACTGATGCTTCTATCTCTCTCCAAAATCAATTCCTCTACATCGGAAAAGCTGCTTAGCTGACCATCGGGGAACAGACACCAGGCTCATGGCTAGTGAGCGCAGCTGTGGCAGCCCAAGCCTCTCTTGCCTTTGCAGCACAGCTACCAAGCAGCGGCAGAGGCAGGCACAATGGGGCTGGGATGAACGGGAGTAGCACAGCACCAGCCTGGCTTGGGCTCCCCTCTGCCCACCTGCCACTTTATGCACTACTACATCCCTCAGGAAATGTTGGACTGCCGGCTTCCTCTGAGGGGTCCTGTATTGAGAGAGGGTACAGGCCAGGCTGAGGGACCACACTGGTGCATGAATCTGTGCACTGAGACTCCAGTTTGAAAAATAAAATAAAATGGAAACACTAGGGCTGGTTCTCAGTAGTTGCTCCAGTATCTTGGTAGACCCAGTGGCTAATTCTTTAAGGGTCCTCTCCCACAACTGCATTCCTCTATTTGTTTATCTATCCTATCAATGAGAGCACAAGTTCTTTGTGAACAAGAGCATATTATGTTGTGTGGTTGTCCCATTGCCTAGCATATAGCTTACACACAAAATGTCACAATACATAGGACATACTAGTATTTTGTGAAAATTCATTTCCCTAGGCTGAAAACAAGGACATGAGCTGAATGGACAACTCAACAGACACAATATTAAGAAAGGCAGGTGTCAGAGCAGTGCCTCCTTACTTTTGGCAAATAGATTATTAATGTCAAGAAACAGTTTATAATGTTGGTTTTCTTGACCAGAACTTGATTAATATGGTGAGAGCAGTTACTCACAAGAAACTTGTTCTCTGTAGAAAAAGACTGGTGATGATAAAAATAGCAACTACATGATACCCATTTACTCTGTGCCAGGTACTGTGCTAGGAGCTTTATATGGTCTCTCATTTAATGCATCATCCTGTTAAAACCCAAAGCAACCCTCTGAGATAGGTATCATTGCTACAATTTTGCAGATGGACAATCCAAGACACAGAGAGGCCAAGAGACTTTCTCAAGGTCACACAGCTAGCTGAGGGAAAACCAGAATTTAAACCCACATGTGTTCAGTTCCAGAGCCTGAGCTCTTCACAGTTCAATGATATTAAATTTGCCTTATAAAAGCCTGTTTGATTGGTCAAGTTTTATCGTTGTGATTATGGGGATGCACTTTATCAAATACACATGCAGAATTCTCTAAAATCTGGCTGACCTTATGCTAGAGTTATTGCTAATGAGGCCACCAAGAACCTGGTGGGAGTAAAACCTAGAAACTGAGACTTTTTAAAAGGATAGCAAGAGCCCTACGTAAACATTAAACCTCAGACAGGACAAACTGGTATCCGAGTAGCAGACTCTTCACTCAAATGAACCTCGTTCACAGAACAGATTCCCGAACAAATGAAACAGCAACCGTCATAGAGACAATCGGAGGGTGGATTACATATATTCTTTAAAAAGATGTTCAGGATGCCTCATTCTAAGAAAGGAGAACAGAAGAGATTTAAATCTGTGTTACAGAAAATGAAACACTATATAAGAATGATCTCTAAATGTTTAAAAAATAATTTTTTAACAGGACTTATAACTCCCCCAAGTAAGGCTGAACTATAAAGCGACAGGTCTAGAGGGAGGAGTGGAGGGATAGGTCCACAGCATGAATGATAGGAAACCCTTCACACCAGCTGCACAGACATGTAAGTAAATATTAATCTGCAGAGTAAACAGGCGTGCAGGAGATCTCTGCATTTAGTCCACTGAAGGGCAATTCACTTAATGGGAAAGAGAATGCAAATTCATGAATAGGTATCTCGTCCATCACCAGCACACAGGCACCACTGAGAACAGCTTCTGCTAAGTGGCCTACTTAAACTATAAGACCAGACCACTGATGTCAAACTCAACCCCTATTTATTTCATCTGCAGTCTTCCTCCAATGTGTCCAAGAAAAGAGAGGCATCAAGTATTTATGACTATTCTTTACTAGAGGCCCGATGCATGAAATTCGTGCAAGGGCCTCTACCCTCGCAGCCCTGGCTTCATCGGGAAGGTCATCCAGAAGGACACCCAGAAGGTCGTTTGGCTGTCTGGTCTAATTAGCATATTATGCTTTTATTATTACAGATACATTCTGAATAGATTTTCTTTGACAAAACATTTTCTTTGACAAGTTATATCTAATAAGTTAAAGAACACAATTAACTTACTTAAGTAGTCTCCCTTAAAGTCAAATTAATAATCAACCTCTCCCCATTTGGTTAAAAATATTCCATATTCTGATAGAAAGGAAATGAGCAAGTGCATTCCTGTACAATGGCCAGGAAGAAAATTCTACTTTCTGGGACTGCATGTCCTACCTCACCACTGATGCTGACTTTGGGCACATTTCTTTAATCCACTTTTTAAAAAAAACCAATAGAGAAAAAACAACATATGAATCACTGGAAAATAGTTGTATGATGCATCCAACTGAGCCACACATTTTTAAGAGGACAAGCGGCCAGTGGCTTACTTGAAGCAGAGGGTCACTGCACAAGGTTCAGGCTCCTGTCAGGTACTCCTATCAGTGACAGGGAGGAGGGAGCTGACAGCCTCAGGGAAGATTCAGAGTGAACCGATCAGCCCCTGATTGCTAGCTACCAAATAGATCTCAGGAGAGCCAAACCTGAGGGGCAATCAGACAAGCCACTTGTAAGGTTGCTGCCCACAAAATCAGCTGCTGACACCTGACACCAAGATGACCTCTGAAAGCCACCTGGGGCCCCTGGGGTCCTGGCTCAGGAGCTGCACCTTTCAGAGCCAGGAGCACAAGACACACCAACCCACGCAGAGTCTAGCCAGGCAGCCTTGGAAACAGAATCAGAATCTGCCTTATGCGGGTGTTCTCCTCTATTGCCAAGAACACTTAAAGTCAGGTCGTAGGAAACAGGGTCAAATGAATGGTGTGATGCTCTCTTGTTGCTAAAACCACTCCAAATGTAAACTGCTCCTAGGATCCCTACTCCCGAACTGTCATCTAGCTGAGGCGCTATCACGGGTGCATCGTTGAAAGCCCGGTGTAGTCATGCACAGATTACCACAGGGTTCCCTTCTGGGAAATGTGGTGATCCCATCGTTGTGTGAACATCAGAGCGGGCACTTACACAAACCTAGATGGTAGAGCCTACTACACACCTATGCTAGTTGGTATAGCCCAGTGGTTGGCAAACTCATTAGTCAACAGAGCCAAATATCAACAGTACAATGATTGAAATTTTTTTTGAGAGCCCAATTTTTTAAACTTAAACTTCTAACACCACTTCTTCAAAATAGACTTGCCCAGGCCATGGTATTTTGTGGAAGAGCCACACTCAAGGGGCCAAAGAGCCGCATGTGGCTTGTGAGCCGGTTTGCTGAACATGTGTATAGCCCATTGCTCTCCAAGAGAAAAGTAATTTTCCCTCTACCCTTCTGGGTTCTTGGCTGAGACATCCCTGTAATAAAAGACAGACTGATAGGAGAAAACAAACAAAAGTTCAATAACATGTATATCTGCTATATACAGAGATCTAGGAAAACTGAAGCCACCAACTACCTTAAATACCCCCTTCAGCTGAGGACAAAAGAAGATGTTGGGGATGGGGAGGGTCAGGGGTGGGAGGCTATCAGGGAAAGCACAGTAAACAAAGGGGAGGTTGTTAGGCAGACCTGAATCCTTGCCATCTGCATTGATGAGTCTACACAGGCAAGGTCACCCCCCTCTTGCTGGCACAGCTAGGGAGACATCCTTACAAAGGGAGATGTCTCTTACGGGCTTCTTCCATGTTTGCTGTTTCTTAAACTAACTGGCCTAAAATCATCCTTTTGCCAAGTAGACATTGTGGGGATGACAAATTTTGTTCCCCGTTCAGCTCCTAGGTGGTCTCATGTCACTGTACGGAACACTGTAGGCAACTGTAACAAAATGGTGAGTATTGGTGTAATGCATTGCACTGTGATGTCACTGGGCAGTGGGGATTTTTCAGTTCCATTGTAATCTTGTGGAACTGTTGTGGTGTATGTGATCTGTCATTGACTGAACAGTTATGCAGCACATGATGACATACACAGTGAGTACCTTGGACACAGTAGGTGTACACCAGAGGTTTGTTGAATGAATTACAACCCCCCCACCACCCCCACCCCCGCTCCCAGAGCTGTAAGTCAAACACTTTTAATTTACGTAAGACATTCTTTCAAATTCTTAAGAGAATGGCACAAAACAATTCTGCTTTCGTAGATGTTAACTTTGGGGCCAGCAATAGCCTGAAAGAGGAAATGAGTTGCTAATCATAATGTGCCTTTGCAGAGCATTAATATAATTTACAAGTAATAAAAATAAAAGTGCAAAGCATTTTAACACATTATTTCATTTAATAAATACAGACTCATTTTTCTTTTATTATTTTTTCCCCAAAATGTCTAATTGTGCCCTCATGGAGAAGGGGAATCTAAACAAACAGGAAACACCTGGGCATTTACCACAAAACCAACCACCTTGCATTGCACCTAAGAGGTCCACAAATTTCTAGGTCCTATTACATGGACCTACCATTTCCTGAGCCAAAGCCTTTTGTAGGCAAATGTGAAACTGCCAGCTGCAAATAGCAGCCATGAAAGCAAGGTTGTTCCATTTGTTAGTACATGAGGGCATTTTTTTCTGTTACCATAGGATATAATACAGGCATATAATAAATTGATCCATTACCTGTTTCGATGTCACTGTCAATATTCAGTGTCTCATTAGAGGGAAACATGGTTCTTTTCTTGTAGTACTGCTTACAGACTTTTAAGCCAATTCTATGCTCTTCATTTTCTCCATAACTTAGGGTCCCTAGGGAAATGTTCTTTAGATGATGATACTATTAAAAAGAGTTAAATAAAAACACTGTGAGCTTTCAAGCGTTTCATCAGGAGTTAATGCATATAAAATACAGACTTTAGCTACTTGTTACTGCTTATATCATACTAGAGGCCCGATGCATGAAATTTGTGCAAGGGGCTCGCGCCTGTCCCCCACCCCCTGCCGCTGCCGCTGCCTCGGGCCATTGCCATGGCAGCTGCCTCTGCCTCGGCCCTCGCAGCCAGCTTCGTCAGGAAGGTCGACTGGTCTAAATAGCATATTATACTTTTATTATTATAGATTCCTCAATAAAACTCCCAATGTAAAATACCAGAAGGTCAACTTCTCAGGTTGGGCAGAAACACACTGCCTCACAGAATTCAAAACTAAAGAGAGTGCTGACAGACCTCCCACCTTATCTGGGCCCAAGCTCAGGTCGTGCCCACCTCTCTGACCTAACAGCAGACTAGTGACCCCTAGTTCCACCCCACCTCCTGAAGCCACCCTGACCTCCAGGCAGTTCCTGGAGCTCCCAGGCACACTCCTGCCTGTGGCCTTTGTTGTTCCAGGTTTTCAATCTGCTAGGCTCACTGCTTCAGGTCTTGACTCAAATATTACCACCTCAGGGAGGCCTTTCTGCACTGCTCAGTGATAAGTGCAAACACCCATCACCAGCACACAGGCACCTCCAGGCTCTCCCAATCTGCCCCTGCTTTATTCCTTAGCAGTTACCACTTTCTGACATACCACTGAGGAGCCAAACCTCTCACACCCCACAGCTTACATTCACATGCCTGGCACTAGCTCACAGGAACACAGCTTCACCACTGGCCTATCTGCTCTAGCGGGCTTTACTGGCCCTCTCCTCATTAATATGACTTTATTGTCCCCTGGAACATAAAAGGTGCAAGTAATTATTATTTATTTCAGGAACATTCAAAAAAAATCATTCAAATGATCCATTTGAAGATTTAGTCTAATAACCCCAAGATTCTTTGAAACCACCTCTAATCCTCACCTGGCTGTGTCTACCAACCTTAAACTATTAGATGTCAGGATCTTTACCTGATTCTAATCAAGCTCCAACACATTTAAAGATCCTATTCTCCGCTGCCCGCGCCCCCCTCCCTCCCCCCCCAAACTGCCAAATCAGAGTTCAGAATCTGTGGCTGGATGTTGCACTTTCACCCAGGGCACGACTGAGAATGGTCAAGATAACACCTCCCTCGCTGCTGTAAGCAATAAGCTCAGTTTTTATTATCAGTGTGCTTTATTTTTGGTGGTGTTTTCAGGGAGCCAGCATTCAGTGCTATACATTTCACTTCTTTTCATTTGTCTGGCTCTCCCCTCTAGAACTACTTCTATAAGAACAGGGTTTTATCTTTTATTCACGCTATATCCTCAAGGTCTAGAAAAGTACTTGGCACATACTAGGTATCCAAATATTTATTGGATGGATGGATGGATGGATGGATGGATGGATGGATGGATGGATGGCTGAATGAATAAAAAAGAAAGAGTAAGAATAACAACTTCTCTCCTCTAAATGTTTTTTTCAGGTCTGCCAATCTGGTTTCTCAATACCTGCCTAAATCAACCAAATCATATTCTACCCCTAGAATCTCAGATTTGGTATCTCATCCATCAAACCTTCTGAGAATATAAATCTACTCTTGTCCTTTTGATCTGGGATAATTGCCCAAAAATAGTTGGTGTGAAGGGATAAATAAAAAAAGTAAATCTCAATTTAAAAAATTTAAACACGCAAAATCTATTGCATGGAAATGTAACTGCAGAAATACCAATAACCTTTTTTTTTTTTTTTGGCAGACTATGTAAGTTTTAATTAGAATATTTTAATATATTTATAATTTTTTTGCTAAGACAATAAGATCAAGTATCAATATATTCTTAAAATATAGGTCATCATAATGAAAACTTGCCTGGTTAATAGCATAAAATATGCTCTCATAGGTGTCCTCTTGAGTATATACACTGTAACTGTAGTCTTCTTCGTCTATACCAGCATATCCTCTCAAAAACAAATACTTAAAAGCCATGGTGTTTTCTTCCTTGAAAGCAACCACGAGCTGGTTACTTAAACCAAAACGAACAAGCTAGAAAAGAAAATCGAATAGGTATAAATGAATTTTACCATTTTCTTTATTTATTTTAATCCTCACTGAGGACATTTTTTCATTGATTTTTAGGGAGAGTGGAAGAGAGAGGGAAAGACAGAGAGAAATATCGATGTGAGAGATATCGAGGTTGTCTCCTGCAAATGCCCTGACCAGGGCCTGGGCCTAGAATGGGCCTGCAGCCTGCAATTGAGGTACATGTCCTTGACTGGAATCAAACCCAGGACCCTTTGGTTCGCAGACTGATGTTCTACCCACTCAGCCAAACTGACTAGGGCTGAATTTTACCATTTAAATGCCATCTTATCATCAGGAGCAAGAAAAATCTCACTGCTTTGGTTCTTACAAATCAACAATGTCAAAATACAAGTCCAAAGCAGAATAAGCTCATCAAGCTACATGTGCAATTCTAGATAGCGTGAAATTAGAAGAAATTACTATACCCATGAGAAAGGGCCCTGCTAGCCTCTGTGTGTGTGTCTGTGTGTGTGTGTGTGTGTGTGTGACTATTTGCCAGTCTTCTACATATTATATGTTTATCATTGTTTTTTCTCAGCATCATTGTGACATAACTGCTGACTTTTAATAAGGGAGAAGAAATACAAATCAGTTAAGTTTGATTCCATTTTTCTAATACTTGGATTTCAAATTAATTGTTTTTAAAATTGGTGTACTTAATAAAGCAATAATTCATGTTATTGATTTAAAATTCAGAAATTATAACTATTATTTAAAATTACAACTTTTTTTGCATATGGCTTTAAGAATGTTTTTACTCCCACTGAGAGGAGATAGTTGTCAAAGGAATTCAATTACTCCAGTTCTGCAAGAACTCTTCTGTACGGTTCATACCTAAGAGTTCTCTCTCTGAGATCGAAGTACCAGGAAGAACAGCAGGGCTCGCTCAGACCCATTCATTGTCACCAAACACCTACTTCTCATGATAAAACTCCTACTATTCTCTCTTACACTGTCTCCTAGCACAAGGTTAGGCAACAAGGGCTCACTTCAGGACTGAAGGTATTCTTTCTGACCCAAAGTTTTCTTCTTGTAATCCAATAAATGGGGGAAATGGGAAAGCACTAATGGTTTACCAAAAACAAACAAAACAAAACAAAAAACACAGAAATTGCTACACACACAGACAACCTCTTTATAATCACCCTCTCACACATACTCTCTCAATACACACTCACACTCTCATTCACACACTGTCATATACACATTTTCTCACGCATAGTCTCTCACACACTCTCTGTACATATACTCTCACACACTCTCTGTTACACACACACCTGCACACACCACACACCTCCTCCCCTCCCAAACACACACACACACACACACACACACACATACACACACACACACACACAACTCTACAAGCCCTGCCCCACATACCTTTCCCCATCTTGCCACCTTATCTTCTCATCTGCTTTATAAGACAATGAGCATCTAGAAAATGTGCCCCAAATCCTCACCCTACTAAGTCATCAAAACAATTTGGGACTCTGTTTCACTGTGTTGATATTAGCATGTTCAACTAGATAGCCTTGACATTTTTGTTATTTTCTGTCATACCATGGTTCAATATGATACACTGCATGGCACTAGACAAGACCTCAACTACTCAGTCTTTCATAGGAAATAAATGTTACTATGTTTATGCAAACTTACATACTTTTAAAAATATTGGTTAGCTTTTCAATTTTGTCTGACTTTATAAAGAGGCTGAATAAGTAAAAACAATAGCTACCATTCTACTGCAGTTGCTGTACTGCTTTGCACGTCTTCTCTCATTTACTAACATAACAACAATATTACTAGTGTTTATCCCCCTTTTACCTATGTAGAAATTTAGAGTTGAGCCTCATTAAATTGTCCTAAGTCACCAAACTGGAATGAAAGACAAACCTAACCCCAAAGTCATTTTTATTATGCCACACAATTTCCTCCTGTTGAAAATGTTGTCTTTGGCCGGGACCGGTTTGGCTCAGTGGATAGAGCGTCGACTTGGGGACTGAAGGGACCCGGGTTCGATTCCGGTCAAGGGCATGTACCTTGGTTGCGGGCACATCCCCAGTGGGGGGTGTGCAGGAGGCAGCTGGTCGATGACTCTCTCTCATCGATATTTCTAACTCTCTATCTCTCTCTCTTCCTCTCTGTATAAAACCAATAAAATATATTTAAAAAAAAAAAAAAGAAAATGTTGTCTTTGAGGCTCCTCCTGCAGAAAAGAATCAGGTGCTAGCTTTCCAGAATCTCAGCTATTATTTGAGAAGATACAAGGATGACACTCCTTAGCATCTGAATCTCACCAGGTCACATTCCTCAAATACCAAATTAAAGGTCTGAGCAAGTGCAAAAATACTGCACACATGAAAAAACACAGACAGGAATCAAGTTCTTCAATCAAAGTCCATTGAGTGTCTATTCTGCACCAAACTGGGGTGCAATGTAGACAAGATCAACATTGCTTGGCATTGATAACAATTCTTACCTACTAACTGACAGGCACGGCACCTAAAATTTATCATTTTTATTTTTCATTGAATTCCCCAACACTCTATGAGGGAGATATGATGCTGGATCTATGAGGACATGATGTTTGTTTGTTTTTTTTCTTTATTCCCAACTAGTATGTATGTATTCAGGAACTGGAATAGTGCTCATCACAATGTCACAGTGAAATCCAGAATTCGTTGATGAATATAACCCCATTTTATGCATATACTAGATGCCCTGTGCATGAAATTCAAGCATGGTGGGGGTGGGGGTCCGTTAGTCCGGCTGCAATGACACCAGCATCCTGAACCCTAGCTGGCCTCTGGCCAGAGGCCCGCCCACCCTCCCTCCAAGGGTCGGGGTGCGCAGGATGGTGGGGCTCATCTCTGGGATGATACTGCCAACATCCAGCACCCCAGCTGCTATGGGCACCGCCATCTTTGTGGCAGAATTATGGCTAATTTGCATATCACCCTTTTATTAGATAGGATGTACTAAAGTCACATAACATATACAGGTTAGGATAGCTAAAACATGTCAGAGTGAGGAGAGTAAAAAGGCTGTTGGACTCACCTGTTCATTCTCTTGACCACCTGTTTACTGAAATGCTGCCAACTTAACTCTAGACCCATTCCTTCCTTGCTCCAGCTAAACCAAAAATCTCAGGCAGCCCTAGCTGGTATTGCACAGTGGTGAGAGCATTGGCCTGTGGACTGAAGTCTCACGGGTTCTATTCCCCATCAAGGGTATGGGCCTTGGTTGCAGGTTTGATCCCCAGCCCCAAGTCAGGGAACTTGCAGGAGGCAACTGATCAACATTTCTCTCTCTCTCTCTCTCTCTCTCTCTCTCTCTCTCTCTCTCTCTCTCTCTCTCTGTGTGTGTGTGTGTGTGTGTGTGTGTGTGTGTGTGTGTGTCCCTTCCGCTTTCTCTAAAAATCAATAAGAAAAATATCCTTAAGTGGGGATTTACAACAAAACAAAACAAAACAAATTCACACATACAAGAATCTGTAGGGGGAATGGATAACTTGACCAGAAATGTGGCATACAACTTGCTGATATTTTAAGCCATAACTTTATTTAAACTTAATGCTCAACAGCTCCATTTTGGAAATGAGAGACTTGGGGGTGTGATCCCTGCTTGTAACCACCCCCATCTGGCATCAGGAACAAAACAATTTCTCAATCTATTTTTCACAGAACAAGCCAAGACCCACCTGCATCGTCCAGCATCAGGTCAGGGTTGGGATTTTCAAAGCATCTCTTTGTAGAGGGGGTAAACCCTGAAGAGGAAAGACTTTGAGGCCCTCTTCCAGCCATGGAAGAATTTTTAAGGGCAAAAATACCAATTTCAGAATCAAACACTCTCTATAAAGCAAGAGTAAGTAGATGACAGGATTGGCCAAATAAGTTTATTTTTAAAGAGGAGTTTGACAGAAAAACACACCTTAGCCCCTCTAACTAGATCTTAAGATTTGCCAAGAATATGATATAAGCCAGAAAAATAATTACTAGATAACCTTGACATTTTTGTTATTTTCTGTCATACCATGGTTCAAGATGATACACTGCATTGCATTAAACAAGACCTCAACTACTCAACCTTTTAAGTGAAGCCTGGCAGAGATTATGAAGTTAAGATCTGATTATGAAATCAAACAGTATAGGAGAAAATATTCTGTACCAGGTGAAATCAAGATACTGCTGTAATAACTTACAAAGATTATGGGAGGGAAAGGTAAACTAGCAAAGGAATGTAGACACCTTTCTCAAGATTACAAATTACTGCCAAATGAAGAGTAGGAGTGTCTTTTTAAAAAGTTTCCTTCTCGTCAATCCTGATAAAATGCCATCCATCCCATTAGAATTGAGGGTGGAGTGCTAAAAGAGACTGTAAAAAGAAGAGGGGAAATGGGGTTTGAGGCAGAAAATATAGTCAAGAAATCTGCTCCAATGAGATATCACCCAAGTAGCAAACCTTATTAGAATGATCCAACAGATGAACAAAAGTAATCACCCCCTCAATTTTGTGAGGGGAGACAGGATACACAAAAAGTAAATGATCAATTCCCAGAAATATTCTATTAAAAGTGAAATTCATGATGTGGACACAGGGGTACTAGCATACTAAGGAAAATCAGAGGCTGAGAGGTCAGGCAAGGTCCATAGGGGAGGTGGACTTCACACAGTGCCTGTGAGATGAGGGAGAAAAAGGAGTCCCTCTGGATTGAGGAACAAACAGCAGGATCACTGGGCGGGGTCATCGGGCTGGGTGTGTGGAGGGAACAGCAGATGAAAACCTGGTGGGAAGGCAAGTGAAAATCTGTGAATCCAGGCTATGGCATCAAGAGTTTCTTCTGTGGGAAATAGTGTTCTACAGAAAGTTCTGAGCAGGAGGGAGATCAGCAAACTGTGGCTCACAAACCACAGGCAGCTCTTTGGTCCCTTGAGAGTGGCTCTTCCACAAAATCCCCTACCATGGCCTGGGCAAGTCTATTTTGAAGAAGTGGTATTGGAAGAAGTTTAAGTTTAAAAATTTTGGCTCTCAAAAGAAATTTCAATCGTTGAACTGTTGATATTTGCCTCTGTTGACTAATGAGTTTGCCAACCACTAACCTAGAGATACACATCCCTAAAAATGGTTCCACATACAGGCCCCAACGCTACATGACGATTCTAATGGCCGTTGTAATACTGACAATAAAGGGCTCAACAATATGGATTTATACAAAAGGTCTCGGCCCTTGTGGTATAGCTCAGATGGTTGGAGCACCGTCCCAATACACCAAGGTTGTAGGTTCAATTCTCAGTCAGGGTCAGAGCACATACAAAAATCAACCAATGAATGCATAAATAAGTGGAAAAACAAATCAATCTCTCTCTCTCTCTCTCTCTCTCTCTCTCTCTCTCTCTCTCTCTCTCTCTCATCAATAAATAAAAATGAATGGGAGGGAGGAGGTCTCAATGTAGTTTCTCTATGCTCCTTATAATGCCAGGGGCTTAGTATTTAAATATTCAGAGCACTCAGCCACTGATGAAAGGGACACTGAGCATTCTCTAAGTCTTTAAAGTCAAAACAGTCAAAGATGCAACTCTTAAAAGTGTATTTAAGTAAGATGTATTTAAATAAAGATGAGAGATTTCAATAACAGAGGTCACTTTGGATTGAGCAGCCTGCGCCAGCCTATGTGCCTCATTCAGATATAGACACCCACACCCTGCAATACAGATCTGCTATTCACCTAGAGTAAAAGAACCTGTGGAGGCAGGGCACCATAATCCCTTCCCTAAAACAAGGACACCGTCAGAAATGAACTTCAACCTGTACCATCGGTCCTCCAGAGTCAACAAAATTTTATGATTTTATGAACTTGAGTGTGGACTTCCCAGAACAGAAGTCAAGGGGCAGAACACATAAGAACACAGTTTCATCTTGGGGTAAGGAACCAACCAAACGCACTCATCATATAAGTTACCTGTGTGGTGACCATGAGTATCTTCAAAATCTGCAAGCCCAGTTTCCATGGGATCTGGTGTCTGGCTCGGTATTTTTCACAAGGGCTCATGAAGTAGAACCTCAGGTCTTTCCTCAGGCATTCTTCTTTCATGTCAGAATCGAGATGAGCCATTGTAGTGCTGCCACAGAAGATCAATGTTAAAATACATAAAATAGCTTGTTCACCAGAAAGCTCCTAAGTAATACTTTCCGTTCACATGCTTTGCCCACTTTTTCAAGCAAAACTATCTCTCAACCAGAGAACCTGTGTTCTCTTTTGGAATCTGACAGTTATTCAGGACTCTCCAGTATTTGCCTTTTCACACAGCTATTTGTCTCATTCAAATTGGCCATTGTAAAAATTTATAAGAATGAAATTGTATTTTCAAAACTCATCAATTCCTACACTTTAACATATAGCACTCACCTGTCACTGAAGTATTAACAGAAATTAGATGGGATATTTTCATGTACTCCAAATGTGAAATCACAGAAATTTGGCATAAACTAATGAAACTAAAGTGTTTTGGAAATAAAGAATCTTTGTCCTATAATTTTTTGTACTGAATGACGGATTATGTTCCCCTTTATTGATAATATATCACTGACAATAAGATCCTAAAATGTAAATATATTTAAAAAATAAAAACAGCACCTCTGCAGGTATGCCTAGGCGGACATCTGTGTCCCCTTACATTAGTAAAAGTTGCCTCTACTGTTTCCAAGGGCTCTGGACTCTGGAGTGGGCATAGGACTCAAGTGAGGCCAAAGAGAGCCAATGAGGTGTGGTCACAGGACTATGGTTAGAACTAATGGGAGAGATGTGGTCTTTCCACTAAGCAGTCCCCAAACTGGAGTGTGCAAAACAAAAAGATTTAACTCTATTAATAATAAATATAACATAACATAGAGAAGGGTCACTAGTAATTAATATAACATAACATAGAGAATAACAGTGGTATATATAGCATATAATTTCTAAATAAATATACACACATTGAGGATATATGCTTAACTTTCACTGTTGGATACATAATCAACACAGTTGGAGATCAGAGACATAAAGCTTAGGCTGTGAGTCTGAAGTTCTTGGAAGCCAACTCGCCCTCACAGGCGAGCTCACCAGAGAGTGGAGCTAGCACAGAAGAACAGACAACACATAGACACTAGATCTAATGACAGAGTTTGAGTTCCTGGATCCAGCTGTGCCTGAAGCCACGGTCCCAAGACTTCCAATTTGAGCTAACAAATTGGTATTTAAGCCAGTTTAAATTAGATTTCTGTCTCTTAAAAAAGAAATTGGATGGTAAATTTAATAAATAACTTCTATTACATTCAGCCAGTCAAACTACACATTTTTAGGGAAGTTTTTATAATTGGGATTAGGGGTCATTCTTGGGGATCTTTTCACCTGAAATGTCTAAATGGCAATATTTTTATCCTGATTTATCATCTATGTTATCTATATTGACTAACAAGTTTAAAAGAAGCTCAAAGGGGAAAGGCTATTTTAAAACTTATTTTAAAGACCTTTTTAAGACTTATAGGCAGTTGTTAATAATTTCTTATTATTTATTTTTAATTTTTTTGTTGAATTTCTATTTTTAGACCTCCTATTTCCAGAATTAGTAGCCTAGATTATTCAGAATTTTCCTGCTTTGAAGTAAGGAAGAAAGGAAAAAAGGAAGGAAAAGAAGTGAGAGAGGGAAGGAAGAGGTATTTACACACACACACACACCAAAATGGAGTTGATATTGACAAAAGAACTGTCTGAAGTAGAGCTGGGAGGCCTCCAGGAAGGTGAGCTAACAGACCTCATCTCATGTGAAACTGAACTTTAGAACTGGGCTAAACCAAAAAGCTACATTCCGATGCAGATCTGGGAACTGACTGATTCCCTGAACTCTCTATTAAGAAATAAAATTTTCACCTAACAGTAGACATAAACAATTAATCATGTATAGCATAATGTAAAATTTCCTGTGAGCACCAATCACAGATCTTTCAAAGCAACTTGTGTAACTCCTTTAGATGCTCCCCTTTTTCTGTCTTTATAAATTTCGTCCCCTACTTTCCCCCTAAAAACAAAATTGACTTTCTATCCAAATCTGTGTGTTCTGGATTGCAATTCCTTAAAAAAAATAAAATAAAATAAATAAAATAAAAAAAGACCCCCAAATAAAGCTTTTGTTTGCTTTGCAGTTCTTGGTCAAAATTGATTGACAAACTGCAAAAGACTGGAGTTAAAAATAGACAAGTCACCCTAAGCAGTTTGGCTCAGTGGATAGAGCATTAGCCTGTGGACTAAAGAGTCCCAGGTTCAATTCTGATCAAGAGCATGAACCTTGGTTGTGGGCACATCCCCAGTAGAAGATGTGCAAGAGGCAGCTAATCGATGTTTCTCTCTCATTGATGTTTCTAACTCTCTCTCCCTTCCTTTCTTTAAAAAAATCAATAAAAATATATATATATTTTTAAAGTAGACAAGTCCTGGGGATCTAATGCACAGTATCTATCTATATATATATATATAAAACCCTAATATACAAATAGTCCAAATGGCAGAACAACTGAACAGTTGCTATAACATGAGTTGACCACCAGGGGAGCACATGAAACATGATGGGCATTGGCCACCACGGGATTGGTAGGGCAGATGAGTAGGGGTGCCAGACCAAGGTGGGGTGCTGGTTGCTGCCATCAGGGCAAGCCTCTGGTGGTTACTGAAAATTCTTTCCTCCTGCGTGCCATGGTCCTGCTGGAAGCTCACACCTGCTGCTGGTGCTGGCCCCACTCACACCCGCAGCTAGCACCAGCCCCGCTTGCACCTGCAACCAATTCCAGAGCCGCCACTCGCATCTCATGCCGTACCTGGCACCGGTCCTGATTGCTCAGTGCCATCAGTGGGTGCAAATAGCAGCTGCTGGCCCTAATGACCCCTGAGAGCTTCTCCACCTTCCCCTGCTTCTAAGGGTCAAGAATGAAGTCAGGAGGAGAAATGCTGCAACTTTCATCACACAACAGGTTTATAAAAGGACAGAGAGATGCTAACTTGTAACACAACTCGGGAAGTGAAAGTGACTGCACCATAAAATCAGTTAAGGAACAGAAATCAATTATTTATATTACAGTGACCCATCAACTCCAGGGCAAACACATGGAATAAATAAGAATAATCATGACTCTTATGAATTATTTATTTCACTAAACTATAGGAAAGAATGACCTGGATTTGTATACGTTTAATAAATGGCACCGTTAAAGACCAAATATCAAAGGAAGTACAGTATTTGTAAGCAGAAAAACAAAATTTAGAATGGAATGAAAAGTCACTCACACAGCAGGTTACATGAAAGCTCGTGATGCTTGAATGGAAAAATAAGCAGGACTTAGTAAGAAGCCTGAGTCCGGTACCATGGTGAGAAGTTCGGGGAACAGCACATCAAAGCTATCATGTGTTGTTAAGGAAGCCTATTATTTCTCTGAATAGTCAGAACCGTGTGAAGTCAGTTAATTTTAAGGCTATCACATGACCCAAATAATTCCAACATTATCAAATCAATGACCGAAAGATCTGTGGAAGCTTAATGTTCTGAAAAAGCAAAACAAGTTACCAGTAATTCTTAACCTCATTGGAGTCATGAACCCTTGTGAGAACCTGTGATGGTTTTTGGTCTTTGTCCTAGAAAAATGCACACACCAGTTTCACTGATGGCACCCTGTACCACTGGCACAATCTGCTCAGCAAATAAGCTAACCAGCACAGGTGCTGTTGCTTTCCAGCTTGCATGACCCTTAACCTCAAAAAGAGATGTGAGAGAAACATTGATCAGAACCTCAAACCTCAGGGAAGGTAGAAGAAGAGGGGAGAAGGGGAAAGAGACAGACCAAAGGATCTATATGCAAGCATATAAGTCGAATCAAAGGGCACAGACAACAGGGGGGTAAGGGCATGAATGGGGGGTTGGGAAGTAATTGGGAATAAGGACACATATGTAATACCACAATCAATAAAGAAATTTTAAAAAAAGAGAGATGTGAAAGTTTGTTTCCATAGCCTTCCAAAGTGGGGTGCAGGCACATAAAAGGGTTGGCAAGACCATTTACTGGTATGTGAGAAGAAAGAATTAGGGCTTCTAACTGTATTAATCTAGCAAAGAGAAGTTATCGATAAAATTGACAAGTTGCAATACATGAATTATTACATGTCACACCTACAATGCTCTCACTTGGTCAGAATGCCAGTTGCCTGTTTCATTTGGGTACACAAGGCATCCTGGGAAGAGTGCTTGTTCCTAAAGTAGGGACTGATGGTGGCTCCCTCACTGTTTTCTCAGCACACCCCCATCACTTAGGGTTTATGTGGATCCATTTAAGCATTTTTAGATTATATTAACCCTCACTAAAATGGGCAAGGAGCATAAAGATTACTGCAGATGCCCAGCGGGCATGGATCAGTGGTTGAGCATCGACCTATGAACCAGGAGGTCATGATTCAATTCTGACAGGGCACATGCCCAGGTTTCGGGCTCAATCCCCAGTGTGGGGCATTCTCTCTTATCATTGATGCTTCTATCTCTCTCTCTTCCTCTATGAAATCAATAAAAGTGTATTTTTAGAAAAAGAATATGAACTTTCTTTAAAAATGAGATAAAATATAGGCTAAATCTATGATGTTAAATGTTGAGCCTGCATATAGTAATTCATTTTCATTCCCTTAACTATCTCACTCCTCTAAATGTTCACTTTATCGTTTTTATAGTCCATATGGTTCTGTACACAAGCTATAAATAAATGCACATTTAGAGAGGGTGGATGTTCTTTTAACCAATGGGGATAAGTTATCAAAAATATTTGAGACTGCTTCTATAAGTGTTTCAGAGCTCCCACCACACGGTAGATATGGTTGTCCTTTTGTTATCCCAACTGATACCATCAACTTGTGAGCTTGGGAGAAACTGATGTTTGCTCCCCTGACTCCAACACGTAAGTAGAAAATAACCTAGAGAGCCATTCCTTTTCCTGCCAGACCACCTGTTTATGTGTCATGTATGGAGGTGGCGACAGTAGAGTAGGATGTTCTTTCTAATTCACAGCTAGCTCTTCCTAGTCACAGAGGATGGAGCAGGGGAGGCTGCAT